CAATGGCACTACTCGAAAAGTAAAGGGAATTTTTTTCCAGTATCCTGATGACATTCCCCCAGAAAAAAATAGTTATTTACTTTATGGCTGTTTGTGGGATATTGTGTGAAAATTGGCTGCAGTATTTGCCTACAAAATACAGTCATTTAACACTTTGCAGTAAATCATGTAAAGCACTTTTAGATGTCCTTCCAATGCGAAAGGTGCTTAGTATAAATGCAAGGATAATTGATATTCTACTGTGGCAAAGGGTGACATGATTCATGAGATTCTTTCACAGAAATTGTTTTTAAGTGAAAAAGTTTACTTTTTTGAATGCTGATTTGTAAATTTCTTCAAGGAGGGGTATTTAAACTATAAGGCACTAATAAAACAAAAAGTGCCTGTAAAATGCATTGTCTGATTGTGATATTTGAACCTCTGTAGTGCGAGACATTTCATCTCTGTTTAATACTAGTTAGATTTTAGGCAACAATTTTAAAGTTGTACTAAATAACCAATTTTTCTGGCAACTTTTCATTTGCAAAGAAACCACTTGCCTGCTACCAATTATCTTTGAGATTATCTGATCCTATCAGAATGCTTCACTGCTCTGGCAATAGACCAGTAGAAGCCATTGGTGTAGTTCCACAGATTAAATGTCGAGAAATGAGCAGACTCAACTCAATGATGCATGAGTAACAAAGCTTCATCAAATTACATAGTCTTTACAGCACCAAAATGGGTTATTGAGCCCAACTAGCTTCTACGCCAATGTTTATACTCATATACTGGAGTTTATGAGACTCAACAACAAGAAGATTACATTTGTATAGAGCTTTTCACATCGGGAGGACGCACCAAGGCGCTGGACTCCACTCCCTTCTAAACCCCTCTTTCTAGCACAAATTCATTTTTTGTTGGTTAATCTAATTTTAGATTGGTTTTATACACATTGATTTTATTACTTCCTCTGAAGTTCCCTTCTGTTTGGAGAGCAGAACAGTATTTATGCCCCCTTTATTGAACCCTTTCATAAATTTAAACACCTATATCAGATAATTTCATCTCACAGGATAATGATAAAAAATAATAATAATCCTTGTATTTGGTATAGCGCCTTTCACATTGGGAGAACGTCCCAAAGCACTTCCCTGCAACTGTGAAGTGGAGTGACTGCGTATTTATTGGTGAAAAATAATAAATAAGAACTGGGTTCAGGCTGAAATGGGCATAAAAGCAGTAAATTCAAGTATGGTGAGAGTGTTGTGCAGTGACTGTTTTTGTAGGCAAATGTGGCAGCCAATTGGCAAAGAGCCACAAACTGCCATGAAGTGAATGACCAATTTGTATTTGGGGATTGTTGGCCAGCACACCTGGAGAAAATCTCTTTTTTGAATAGTGCCTTAGGATCTTTAATGTCCACCTGAACAGCCAGACAGGACCTTGATTTAACATCTCATCTGAAAGATGGCACCTCCAACAATACAGCACACCCTCTACACTGGAATGACATCGTAAGACTACATAAATTCCAATTCCCGACATGATGCATGAACCCAAATGTTCTGATTCAGATTGAATGCTACCACCTGAGCCAGGCTGACACATAATTGTACATTGGTGTGTTGTATCCTTAAGTATCTACAGATTTCAGTAGAACAATTTTTAAAAACTGAGGGTCAAAAAAGTGAAAAGAAACCTCTAATCCAGCAAGTAATCAAAGTCTTGAGATATTCTCGCAACATGAAAGATTCTATATAAATGCAATTTGTTGTTTTAATCCCTTCTCCCTCATACATGCACTGACTATCTTCTTCAATACATTGATACTTTCTGTTTCAATCACGAGTCCAATATTCTCGCTACCCTCTCTGTAAAGACATTCCTCTCAAACTCTCTTTTAGATCTGCTAGTGTCTATCTCATATTCATGCTCTCTTATTATGGACTCGCTGGCAAGTTGAAACTGCCTATTTATCAAACTCTTTCAGAATTTTAAATGCCTGTATTAGATCGCATCATCTCCAGAAAGAAAAAACTCTAACTTATCCAGTCTTTCCTGATAACTAATTTTCTCATCTCTGATAACAACATAGTAAATCTACCTGCACTCTCTCCAATGCTACTGTATGCTTCCACTTATGGCATCCAGTCCATTTGTTTGGATGAATGTCTTAACCAAGGGATCCCGTTGTGTTGCCGTTTATAGTATTTTCATGAATTTCTCAAACTTTTTTAAAAAATGTTGAAATGGGCATTATGTTTAGCTGACTCAAAGGTAAAGTGTCTGGCAATGGAACATAGGAATTGAATGAATTTTCTGTTCTGGATCCTGAGCAAGGCAGATCTGTTGACAGGCTTGTCAACACCCTAGCTTGTCAGCAAGACAAGGATAGACTGGCTGATTACTGGCGGAGGATTTTTCTTATAATAATAATCCTTGCATTTGATATAGCGCTTTTCACGTCAGGAGGATGTCCCAAAGCGCTTCACAGAACACACTGTAAAGTGAATTGACTGTATATTTGTGGGCGAACTCGGCAGCCAATTGCGCACAGCAATGTCCCACAAACAGTCATAGATTGAAAAATGACCAATTTATTATTGTTTTTGGTTTTTGGAGGGATTATTAGGCTCTGTGTGGAGTAAGGAAACTTGCCCAAGGTTTCGCCCTCTGCCTGGAATTGAACTCGGGTCTCTCGCTTGCAAAGCGAGTGCTCTAACCACTGAGCTACAGGACTCACTTACTCACTAACTGGTAAGGTGGTGCTTGATCGCCAAGTGAATTTGCCAAACGGGGTTTTCAGTGGCAGGACGTGGGGTTTTAGCTGGTTAAACACCAGGATTACTCTGATATGTAAATGCTGTTGTGCTTGGTTCTTGTCAACCTCCACCGAATACATTTGGAATTAGGTGAGCAAGATGCACCCCATTCCAGACAAAGTGATATTTTCACTAATGTGTAGAACTCTCAGTTGTTTAGTTTTATTCTTAAGCAGGGGAATGGGTTTTGATGTGTGTCAGATACCCCGGCTGACCAAATAAAATCAATATGTTTTTAGGCAACTTTCTAAATGATATCTTCAACCTCAACCTTTGTGGAGTCCTGTAGCTCAATGGTTAGAGCACTCACTTTGCAAGCGAGAGACCTGAGTTCAATTCCAGGCAGGTCAGGGCGAAACCTTGGGCAAGTTTCCTTACTCCACACGCCTAATAATAATCCCTCCAAAAACAATAATAAATTGGTCATTTTCAATCTATGACTGTTTGTGGGACATTGCTGTGCGCAATTGGCTGCCGCGTTCGCCCACAAATATACAGTCAATTCACTTTACAGTGTGTTCTGTGAAGCGCTTTGGGACATCCTCCTGACGTGAAAAGCGCTATATCAAATGCAAGGATTATTATTATTATTATTATTCCTTTCCGGGGTGAGGGCGACTTCTTTCAAAACTGCCACTCATTCTCCTTCTCAAAAAAGAATTAAACTTAGAATCATAGAAATATACAGCACAGGAGTTCCTTCAGCCATTCGTGTCTGTGCCGGCTCTTTGAAAAGAGCTATCCAAACCAATCCCACTCCCCTGCTCTCCCCCCATTGCTCTGCAAACTTGACCTCCCCAAATAATTATCTACTTCTCTCATAAAAGTTGTTATCGAATCGGCTTCCAACGCCCTTTCAGGCGATGCATTCCAGATCCGAACAACTCGCAGTGTGAAACAATTTCTCCTCACCTCTCATCTGATTTTTTTTAACAGCTATTTTAAATCAGTGTCCTCAGGTTACCTACCCACCCACCAGTGGAAATAGTTTCTCCTTGTACACCCTATTGGATCCCCTCAGAATTTTGAAAACTTCTATTAAATCTCCTCTTAAACCTTCTCTGCTTAAAAATAATCCTAGCTTCTCTAGCCTCTCCTAATAACTGAAGTTCCTTATTCCTAGTACCGTCCTGGTAAATCTCCTTTGCACCCTCTCCAAGGTCTTGACATCCTTCCCAAAGTGTGGCTCCCAGTCACGCAGGAGAACTTTATAAATAGGCTTTAAAATAGGGGCATAGATTACAAAAGTCAGGAAGTTATGATGAACCTTCATAAAACACTGGTTAGGCCTCAGTTAGAGTACCGTGTTCAGTTCAGTCTGTAGAGGGTGCAAAGGAGATTTACCAGGATGGTACCAGGAATGAGGAACTTCAGTTATGAGGAGAGGCCAGAGAAGCTGGGATTATTCTAGTGGAATCCTGAAGCTCAGTGGTTAGAGTGCTTGCCTCGCAAGCAAAAGACCTTCTTTTGAATAGTGGAGCTGGGGAGACTGGCGAGGAGTGTGTTTGAGTAATCCAGGCGGGAGGGTTTCGGCTCCATTTGGGGTAAGGTACAGTTGGAGGCGGGCAATGTGGTGGAGGTGGAAGAAGGCGGTCCTGGTCAGGGACTGAATGTGGGGGAAGGAAGGACCGCTGGGGGTCGAACCGGACGCTTAGATTGCACACTGATTCAGTGAGTGTGAGGCAGAGCCCAGGGAGGTTCGAGGAGTTTAGATCTGCAGGAGTGAAGACGTTGACGGCTTCCATCTTGTCCGCCACGTTCAGCGGCAGGAAGTTTGCCCTCATCCAGGCTTTTGATGTCCGCCAGACAAGCTGATAGAACATCCGCAGGCCCTGCAGAACACAGTAGGAATCGGTACAGAAATCAGTGGGGAAAAAGGTGCAACACGTGAGGTGTTGTGTGGAGGTGTGTAACCCACGTGCTCACGCCTTGTTTTGGGTCTGTGGCTTGTGTTGCCGGCGCGTGGTCCATGTGGCCGGTGGTCATTGGCTCACTCAGGAGCGCTTCCGTTGGTGGGGTCGCGGGGGGGGGGGAGGGATTGGTGGTGGTGGTTGCCGGGACTTGTAGTTCGGTTCTGGCCGCTTGCGCCACGTGATCTTCCCGTGGAACGGAAGCGAAGTGAACTACGACCCCCGTGGTGCAGAGCGCCCCGGATAGCGCATGCGCGGCGGTGTCGCCGAGTGTTTTTTTTAAACGTAAAAAGAAAGCCATCGCAGAGGGGGGAGAGAGAGAGAGAGACAGTGCTGTAACAGGAGTGGGGTCGGGAGGGGAAGGGAGGGGAGGTGCCGCGAGCCCGCACCAGGAGTACGTGCAGTCACACACCTCGACACACGCCTCCTCCTCCTCCTCCTCCTCCTCCCGAGGACGCGCGGCAAGTGCAGCACCTGCTCCATCGCTGCGCTCGAGCCGCCCCTGAGGTCGGTCCCGGCTGCGGCTGCGGAGTCGGAAAATAACGGTCGCTCAGCTCGGGGGCCGCGAGATGAGGGCGACGAGGACCGTCCCCGCCGCGGCGGCGCTCGCTGCCGCCTTCAGCCTGTGCTGCCTCCCCGCTTCCCACAGCGACATTTCTGTCCAGGTACACCGTGTGACTGTCGTGTGGGGCTGTTTGTACAAAGAGCAGTCTGTGCGGGTACAGCGGGTGGTAAACCGGGTTCAGCAACTTCTGTGGTTATGCGGCGTCGAGGATGTGATGAATTTAAGAGTGATTTAGAGTCGGGACCGCAGTGCTGTAATCCTGTACTGTAAGAACACCTCCGGTCATTTGTTTTAGCTTTAATTCCCTTCACATTACCAGACAGACAGACAAAAACAGCTTCAAATAAGTCTTTCAAAAAATGTGTTGGTTTCCTTAACTCTCCCCTCCCCCCTCCCCCCCTCCCCCCCCCTCCCGCCCATCAAATAAGTGAAGGAAATGAGCATTATTTTCCAGAAGTACCTTTTTAAATCGGTTTAACGTGTTACCTTTGAAGGTCCGGCATTCTCGGAGGGGAGACCCGAGTTTTGTTCGTCGAAACAAATCCCGCATTTAAGAAGTCAACAGTTGGAAGTGTTCGTGTTTTGTCAAAGGGGAAAGTCGAGACTTCATTTCAAACCGGACACTGCAACTCGTTAATTTCATCTTTTTTTGCCTCTGATGCAACCCCAGAATATGTTGTTGCGCAATTTTAACTGGTTTGAAATCAACAGTAATAATAATAATAATCCTTGCACTTGATATAGCGCTTTTCACGTCGGGAGGACGTCCCAAAGCGCTTCACAGAACACACTGTAAAGTGAATGGACTGTATATTTGTGGGCGAACGCGGCAGCCAATTGCGCACAGCAATGTCCCACAAACAGTCGTAGATTGAAAATGACCAATTTATTATTGTTTTTGTTTTGGAGGGATTATTATTAGGCTCTGTGTGGAGTAAGGAAACTTGCCCAAGGTTTCGCCCTCTGCCTGAATTGAACTCAGGTCTCTCACTTGCAAAGCGAGTGCTCTAACCACTGAGCTACAGGACTCCGAGCTATAGTAAATTCCAACAGTGGGTTGATTTTAGGTACAGGTCACACACAATTCACGTTTTTCATATTTCAGTATATTGTAGGTTCATTTTTGTTATGCATGTGGGAATGTTTAGACAGATCATCAGGTTGGAGTACATTTCTAGTGCACTCACAGAGCTGCTACTTTTTTTAGTCTTAAATATTTGTTTCCATATGCAACAACTCTGCCAAATAGGTTAAGAAGATAGCACCCTCATTTATACTCGTCAGACTTATTGAAAGCTTGTTATATTGCTTACCAAAGCTGTTTTTTTCTGTATTGAGAGGAGAAAAACAGATGCAGATGAAAAGAGAAAATGTTTCAGAGTTAAATGTAAATCCAGTGTACAAAATGTAGTGTAAAGGTGACTGTTTTAACTTTTTAATCGATTCTGGGGGAAAAAATGTATTCTCAATTTACTGTTGCCCGCAACTTGAATCAGAGATTAAGGTTTAGGAATCTGCTAATTTTCAACATTTTTTGGAATCGCCATATTATAAAATAGGTTTCAAAAGCGTCAGAAACTTATTTTTATTTTTGTCTTAATCCCTTGAGGAAACATATGCTTTGTTTAGTGTTCTAGAGTTTACTGTTGTTCAGACCATCTCCATCTGTACTGTTTTTCTCTTTGCAGTAATATTAATAATAGACAAATGGCTGTTTCACAGGAGTTAATGATAAGTGCTTAGCAAAGATTTATTTTAAAAAAAAGTCTTGCATTAAACTGGTAGAGATGCTATATGATTAATGTATTTTTGTAAAAGCAATGCTATACAGTGTTTGGAGAGATAAAGTGGCACTGATAATGTACTAAGAACAAAAAGCTCTTCATATTTTTAACTCTTAGCAAAACAGAAATAAAATTGGTCACTTCAATCCACGACTGTTTTGTGGGACGTAGCTGTGTGCAATTGGCTGCCGAGTTTTGCCTACAAATACAGTCAATTCACTTTACAGTATGTTCTGTGAAACACTTTGAGAAGTCTGGAAGATGTGAAAAGCGCTATATCAAATGCAAGGATTATTATTATATTATAATATTTCCTTTAACTTTTCAATGAACATAAGTTTTAGCCGAATGTTCAGGAAAGATTTTTTTGCAGAGACCATTTGCAGCTGACCTGCTTTCAGGTTGCTGCCAAAGGCTCTTTTGCTTGGATGTGTTTCAGAGTGATTTTGAATGAATGCACCACTGAGTAACTTGGTTGTTATTAAACTTGGTACATTACGTAGTTTCCCCCAAATGCACTGCGCTAAATCTGAAGGGCCCAGGTTCAATTCCCAATTAGTTAATGACACCATGGCAACAGTTTGGGTGTTATAAATTGGCTTAGTGCCTCTTGGTGGCAAAACATCAGCTAGTTTTGCTTTCTGCTTGTTGACTAGTGAATCTCTGCATATATTGTAAATATCAGGTTAAAATAGGATCGAGTGCCTCTGTAATGCCCTCCATTGTGAAATAACCTCCTGCCACTCGTTGACTGGCCTTGCTTGAACGCAAGATACATGATTATTAGTAACATACCTGAATGATTCTTATTGAATCTTTCAACAAGAGTTAGCGCTGTCGAGAAAGGAGAAAATTGAAAAATAAACATTTGGTCCATATCCTCAAAAGGTCAACCCACAAGGCTACTTGAAATCATATAAAATAATCCTCTGAGGTGACCACATACAGTAAACATTAACTCTGGGTTTTCTAGCAAATTGTCAGTCAAATTGTCAATTTTGTCTGTGTTTAAAATTATTAATACAGTTTAGCTGAATTGGTAGCATTATTGTCTCTAGGTTAGAATGGTGTGAGTTCAAGACCCACGTCAGCGCTTTTAAGAGACTCATTATGGAGATCCTATCGATTGGATGAGATGTTAACGGAGGCCCTTTCTGCCAGGTCAGAAGGATGTTAAAAAAATCCCATGACGTTATTTAAAAAGAGAAAAGTTTCCCCCATTTTAATGATATGGCTCTAAAAAATGAAAGTTCTTCAAATTAATTTATATTTTCGTTGTTGGAATTGATCCAGCTCAAATTGTGCTACACCATTGCTCCTGAGAAGAGTCGAGGAGGAATAGTTTTGTTCACAGTGCTATCGAGCTCACTCCCACATGGTCTCTCTAAGTTCTTAAGCAGTCAAGCAAACCAACTTTATTAAAGAGCTAGTTGAAAGACCACTTAGAACAAGATGCTAAGTTCTCTATATCAGAATTAAATGTGGTGCTTTGTTTAAAAAAAAGTGTTTGGTAGGTTTTTGACGTGTACAAATTCCTTGTAGAATTATTGGCTCAACGCCATTTAACTTGATGTATTCCAGTAATATTGTTCACATAAAATATACATTGTATATTTTGTTTAAAAGCCCAACAAGTGAATTTATTTGAATACATTTGTTCGGTACCTGCATAATTAAATATTGCCTAATGTTAAATGCAAAGTCCAAGGTATTTTGGAACAGATGACTCAAACTGTAAGTTTCATAAATCCAGTTATTCTGCTCACACCAAACCCCGCTACCTGCTGACGTGGCTTAGCTGATGTGGGTCTGCTGTTCCTCGTCCCCTCTGCTCCACAATTGGCGACCGTGCTCAGCCACCGAGCCCCCCGAGCTCTTTACCTCAATTCGGCCATCTTGCCTCTTCTGTGCTTGTCACCTCCCTCCCCTCTCTTCCCCCACCCCCACCTGCTTTCTGGCTTGGTGTCAAGTCACAGCACTGTTGAGCGCTCTATGGTGCTATTCATGTGAAGGGTGCTATTTAAATAGTTGTCATTCTAGGAAAAATATTTTTATGAATACCTGCGAGGCAAGTTATGTGCAATAATTAATATATATATAAAGAATATATCCTTGCATTTGATATAGCGCTTTTCACGTTTTCTAGACGTCTCAAAGCGTTTTGTAGAATATATTGTAAAGTGAATTGACTGTGTGTTTGTGGGCGAAACGCGGCAGCCAATTGCGCACAGCAATGTCCCACAGACAGTCGTGGATTGAGTGACCAAATTATTATTGTTTTTGTTTAGGGATTATCTCCGGGAAAGGGAGATCAATTGACTAACAATCGGGTTCCTACTTACTGCTTGGTAAACAGAGATGTGTGAAGTAAGGAAACTTGCCCAACATTTCGGCCTACCTGGGATCAAACCCAGGTCTCTCGCTTGCGAGGCGAGTGCTCTAACCACTGAGCTCAACCACAGGATTCCACACAGTTCTAACAGAGCAAAACTAATGCGATGATGGTATCAAACTGGAATAACTTTTGACCGCACCATCAGTACATTGATCTCCTAGAAATAGATTAGATCTATTTGGTCCGATTGTATGTTGTCCCTGGGGTTAGGTAGTGCTCCTAATAACCTGGGCCAATAGAAAAGTGCGGCTGCACCTTTCCCACACTTTCCGCTACAAAGTCGTCACTGTGGGCCGACCGGCTCCGGACATGTACGCACAGTGCAGCGCAAATGGACTACACTTGAAAGCCCTACTGTTGTAATTGTGTGTGTGTGTTTACGTGAGTGTGTCTATCCTCTGTATATGTGTGTGTGTGTGTGTTTGAGTGTATCTGTGTGAATGTCTGCCTCTCTCTCTGTATATCCTGTGTCTGAGTGTGTGTCTCTGTCTCTCTCCCTGTGTCTGAGTGTGTGTCTCTGTCTCTCTCCCTGTGTCTGAGTGTGCGTGCGCCTCTCCCCGTGTCTGTGAGTGTGCGTGCGCCTCTCCCCGTGTCTGTGAGTGTGCGTGCGCCTCTCCCTGTGTTTGTGAGTGTGCGTGCGCCTCTCTCCCTGTGTTTGTGAGTGTGCGTGCGCCTCTCTCCCTGTGTTTGTGAGTGTGCGTGCGCCTCTCCCCGTGTCTGTGAGTGTGCGTGCGCCTCTCCCCGTGTCTGTGAGTGTGCGTGCGCCTCTCCCCGTGTCTGTGAGTGTGCGTGCGCCTCTCTCCCTGTGTTTGTGAGTGTGCGTGCGCCTCTCTCTCTCCCAAAGGACGGGTAGACAGATTTTTCATTTCAGTCTTCCTCACCATGTAGGCAGTTCATTATTCCTGTTGGAAGATGGGATGGATTGGTTTGCACACATTGAGAGCTAATGTGCAGTTTTCTGGCCTTGACTTTTCTGTGCAAGCAAGCTTCACCCCTTAAATTTTCATTAAACATTGTAACTAGTTTGTCAGAAAATCAGGAGTAAGATTTTTAATTTTTTTTTATATATATACACACACACATGCATACACATTTGGGATTGAGATCTTTTGTATCACAGCCCATTTGATTTAGTCAATTACTAATCCATCAATCAATTTAAACAAAAGCTACAAAACGCTTGTGACACGCGTTTCCAGGTGGAATTGGCAGGGGATTAGGTACTTAATAAATGGGTAGCTGGTGACCATTTTAGGCATGGATCAATGATTTACGTTGTACGCATTGTGCATAGACCTGTAATTTTGTATAATGGAATAACAAGTGGTTTCATTCGCATTTTGACCTCAAATTGCTTATGTTTATAGTCAACAACATTTACATGTTGCTTTTAAACCATATTTAGATTACCACTTTCTTTTTTTATGTTTTGGTGTAAGCCATTTTCATGGAGTCTCAGGAAATACAATAGTGAATTTTTTAACTGGGCAAATTGGCTTTTTGTTTTTATTTAACTAAAGTGAAAAATATTTCCTGCAAGTCTAAAGTGTGCTTTTTGCAAACCAATTGGAAGCAAAGAGTGAAGGAAATTTGAGAGTTAAACTAATCTGGAATAATTTTGTAAGACGCATTTCATAAATGTCTGGAATTTATTAAATGTTTTTCTGGTTTAGTTGACGGGAGTCTTGGATGACTGCTTCTGTGATATAGAAAGCATTGATGTCTTTAACAGCTACAAGATCTTCCCTAAATTACTAAAACTGCAAGAAAGGGACTACTTCAGATATTACAAGGTAAGACTTTTGACTTCTCTTGAAAGTTTCTTGTCTTTAAGATGGCTTTATATGGCTAAATTTGCATTGATTTTGCTTTAGAATTGGAGCAGAGAGGTGCTGGGAAGACTTTGGCTCAATAATAGTGATCCAGTTCTGGATTTGCATCCAAAGTACAGTACCTTTCATTCCTCGCTTCTCTCTGTAAAATAACCCAATTACTGGACAACCCATGACCAATGCCTTACATTTACTATAATTTTATATCTCAAAATGACCAAGTCGCTGCACAAAATCCTGGATTGATGGGAGAGAGTTGAAGATGCTTGCTTTCTTACCGTCTTGGATATAATGTGCATAGAGATTGAGGTGCATCAACTAACATCCAAGAACAAATAGCACAAAACTGGGAGAGAAATTGATGAATAGGAAATAGGAACATTGGTGAAGGTTTGTAGATATCTTGTTAAATAATTGTATCAGACACCAATGTAAAGAAACTAGATTAAAATGCAGTGTATAGATTGTTTTTTTAAAAAAAACCTGCAACAATTAGTACATGTAAAATGCCTTTCAAGTAGGATTAAGAGTTCAAAGTGTTTTTTTAAAAAATGATGGGAGTGTTGAGCATGGATAATTTAAGGTATGGTCAGACAGAAAATTTTGAAACTTGAAAACAGAGGAAGTGAAGAGAAATTTAAGAGCTCCAGAGTAAATGTGTGGTGGTAGGGGTTGGGTGGTGGTGACAGAAGGCCCCTAAATTAATTCTCCACTTATGTTAAAATAGCCATCATATATAATCAACAGAAATGCTGGTGTCAAAGATATGTGTGCATGTTCAGATAATAAAACACTGATTGAAAACCAGTACAAGCATCACAAGAGGTTACTGAAGGTGGATTAGGAGATGATTCAGACTCCTCTTCTGCAATTTTCTGAAATCTTCAGAACAAGATCAAGAACATGGTTCAGTTATCTTTGGTTACATTAGGAAAATCATTTGTTTTTATACTATTGTGTACTTTGCTCTGCTGAATCAAGCATTGTAGTTTACTACATTTGGTATACATGTTCACTGTCAATGTTTTAATCTCTACAGCCAGCATTATGTGCACCTGATTCCAGCTGTTGCTGATGGTACTCACAATTACAGATAGCAAGGAGTGTAGATAATAGCAAAACCTGGCATAAGTTCCAGGCCTCCTGCTTTCACACAGAAATGTTGATAAAGTTCCTTTTGGTAGAGGCTTCAAAGTTCTGATATCAGCATGCACTGTATTTCTGTGTGTGTGCTATGCATTTGGTAATAAGTGATAGAGGTGTATATTTACCTGCTAGCGTTTATATCCATAAATATGATTATATGTTGCTCATGTAGATGCATAGAAGTATAAAAATCCAAGAACCATGCTCATGGATATTATCCACACCTCCATTTCCCCTATGTCTTGGGTCGTTTTTTGGATCAAAGCACTTTTTTTATCATCTGCGCTATATGTAGGGAGATCACCATGGTTGCTGCAGATGCAAATCAATTTTAAACATCCTTTTACATCTGTGCAAAAACTTGCTTTTTTGATGAGGATTTTATGTAGTTCTGTCTAAAATTGTCAAGCAATCGCTAATTTTTTGTGAGTGTCCCATCCTTGGGATTGTATTAGAATCAAAACGTATGGTTAAGGATTAGAACCCCCAAACAGTCAGTTTCAAAATGGCAACAGAGCAACATGCTTACTTTTATTTTTAAAAAAACAAAGTATCTGATTAAGTGCTAAGAATCCATTCTTTCAGAAAATTCTTACTCATGCTTTCCTTCCTTTAGGTTTGTTTCTTGGAGAAAGTTCATTAATAGGCCTTTCTAGTCATCGCCTCCAACGTCTTTCCTCTCCCTTTTCCTGTACATATGCTCAATAGAAAACAAGAGTCTCTTCGTAAATCAGAGTGACTATTCATTGTTCATCTCATAATCCAATGCATAATATGTAAAATTTCTGGAAAGATCAGGGTACATATTTCCCTGCATATTTTGCATATATGACTTGGGAGTAAATGTTTGCAACTGTGAGCAGTACTATCCATTTATTTACTTTTGGTGTTCAGATGGGTGGTGTTGAAATACTGTTTTTTTTCACAAAAAACAGGTAAATTTAAAAAGACCGTGTCCTTTCTGGACAGATGATGGACACTGCTCCATTAAGGACTGCCACGTGGAGCCTTGTTCTGAGGTAAAGTATATGTTTGTGTTTTGATATAGCTGTCTGGGAGGGTTTTCAATATTTTGGGAGTGAATGTGGTCTGTTTTTAAAGTGTGAGATTCCCAGGAGGGTGGTAAGTTTATGTTTTTAAAAAAAAAAGAGAGGGGAAAAGCTATTTCCTTAGTTGGGAATTTTGAGACGAGAAGAAATAGTCTTAGGATTGTTAGAAAATTAGGGGAGAGATTTTTTTATTCGCCTAAGGGCTGTCAGCTTGGATCAATCAAAAGGAAATTGATAATTCTCTGGACAGTAAAAATATTAAGAGATATGGGAAAAGACATGAAATGTGGGATTAATAAACAAGAGTAGTTTAGTAAAATGAGTAACAGTAACAGAGGCAAGATGTGTACGATTGCACCATTTTGTGGTGAACATTTCGATGTCTGAGGCAATAAGTATGGCACAATTTTGGACAGCCCCTCCAAGCACAGTAAGCCTGGCCAGGGAGGGTTTTTAAAATATAATTTGTTGAACTCACAAGTGAGAAAAGGATATACCAGATTAGTCACAAAATCATACGTTACTAATCTAACACAACTGTGGCAGCACCTTGCATCAGCCACTAGAGCTACTCATCAGTTTTCAAGGCAGTCGATAAGGCTCACACTTTACCACACTAATCAAAAACACTGTGCCATGTATGCTGTATCATAATCTCCCCCCCCTTATCACTGCAAATTTCTCTAGCCCTATTCTCCATTCTCTCAAGTCTACTGTGTGTTCCTCACTTTCCCTCCTCATCATCAGTGGCCGAGCCTTCAGCGAATATAACCCCACTCTGAAGCTTTTTTCCCAAACCCCTCCACCTTTGCTTTCCCTCCCAACTTTCAAAATCCTTTTAAAATGTAGCTATTCCTTTACTTAGCATCCCTGCATTTCCCTCATTTCCTTCTGGCTCAATCGCCATCTTTGAACTCCTTTGGCACGTTCATCCTGTATTGGATAAGAATAATGTATGAATGTTTGAGAATATGTTGTAACTAAATAACAATCTCTTGTTACTTAACAACATTGGGGTTTAATAATTATCACTTCTTTGTGAAAACTTAATTTTGTATCCAAAGAGTTTCACAGTAAGTATTTGAAATTGAGTTTGCAGTGCTAAATGGCTCAAAATAAGTTTGTATGATATCATTAAATTAACACTGCATAATTTGTACTATGTAATTGCATATAATAGTAATTTATAGGAATTATGTCAACAATGCAAAAGGATGAAATTGTCGGGACTAAGGAATGTTAAACATTAATAATAGTGTGTGAAACAATGTTAAACATTGTTTCGGTGAACTGAAATACTGGTTAAGATATTTTCTTACAAGTTTCATTTTGAACAGACAGTTCTAACAATTGTATTTTTTGTTTCTAGAGTGAGATACCCATCGGGATTAAAGCTGCCAATTTCAACAAAGTGAGTGCTAGCTGATCAAAATGCTTTATGATACTATTTGAACTGATTTGGTATTTTTCACTTGCACTGATAACCTAGTATTGCGTATTAAACATGAAATATGAAGCGACTTAAATAATCAGTCATGAGTGTGTTAATGGAGAATTGTACACAGTGCATGCATTTTCTCTTCAAATTTCATCAAATAGACTGAGTTGAGCATTACTTTATTAGAGATTACATTATATATTGCATTGTAGATTATAAGGGATTGATCATCTTTCCAGGTGAATAGCTGATCTGTTGATTGTTTTGTGTATTTAGTATTCTGAGGAAGCAAATACAGTAAAAGAGCTGAAAGACTGTGAAGAGGCAAATAAGCTTGGAGCAGTCAACAGCACACTGAGGTGAGAATAGACTTCTTCAAAACTGATCTGGCTATGATTTTATTTAAGCAATTGTTACATTTACCAAATCAAGTAACCCCATTATAACACAATTATCTGTATGATATCTGAGGTGGTATAACAAAGCATTATAATGTGCATCCTTAGTAGACCCTAAGCAAATCCAGGTTCAACCAAGTTGTGTTCTAAACGGGATATTCTGTGCTACTTTTTTAATCTTGTGTTACACCCAGAAGCTCTCCTGTGAATGCAGTGTTGTAACGTAATTGTGAAAACTCACTTGGACTGATTGTTCTCTTATTATGTTGTTTATTCTCTGAATATCTGTTTGGACCTTCCTTGAAGATCAAAGACAGTTGCATGACATAAACAAAGTTGCAAGTGTGAATTTCAAACAACTGTACATAAAAGAACCTTTGGCAGATTCCACTACATCACACACTCAAGATGTGGAATATAACTATGTTCCAGTCTTTATATTTACTGTGCTGCTTCTGGTTGTGATAGTTTCATTGTCAATATTGAGGATTCTCAATAAGTCAATTGCATCGTTAATGATAGTGGAGTTGTGCCATTATTCTAAGTCTACAGATAGACTCTGAATGTATTGGGATATTCAAACAACCCTAAACTATACTATGAGAATGGGGTAAAACACTCAGCAGAGTTTGTGCAATTTGGTCATATTAAAAGAACATGGTAGAGGTGGTTGTGTTGCATGCTTTTTAAAAATGCATTCTTACATACTCATTTCAATAATTTGCTTCCACACAAACCTATTTTCTTAATTAAGTGCTATTTTCTTAATATTATTGATTAAACTATTGGCTGCAGTATTTTGCCCACAGAATATACAGTCAATTCACTACAGTATATTCTGTAAAGAGCTTTGAGACATCTCAAAGATGTCATAAGGCGCTACATCAAATGCAAGGTTTATTATTATCCCTTGATGGGAATGGGAGAGAAGAAATTGCTTTTGGTATCAAACAGATCATAAATACTGCAGAAATTCCCCTTCCAGTATTTTTAATGTTTTCCAGATTTGGGATGGATGGTGGTGGGTTTGAAAAGAGAGTAAGAGAGGGACTTTTTATTACATTGTGTAAACTAATACATTTTTAAAAATAATTAATAATGAACACCCAACTTTGTGAAAGCAGCTAATTTTGGAACTTGTATCCCAGTTATTTTTAGGTTTGAACTGTATGTCGTTACATAAGTAGCAAAGTAGTTTTACACTTTAAAACTAAATCAACTGATGCTTCCAGTTAATTGTGGTGAGCTAGGTTATTTTACAAGAGCTAATGTTTACTTTTGATCAGTACATATTTGGAAAATCCACATCAGCAAATAAATGGAAATTTCAAAAGAGGCCACCTCTCTAAGGCCTTTTTGACATTGCCTGCACAACCTTGCCTTCACATTAAAATGTCATGCTTGGGTTGATGTGCCCTTTTTTATGCAGAGGCAACCTAAAATGTAGACGCTTTCTGTACATAAGGGGGCATTTGGGCCCACCGTATCTCCATATCCCTAATGTTCTTAATGCTCAGATATTTATCCAGTTGGCTTTTGAACTTCTCTATTGAGCCAGCCTCTCCTATTTTTACAACAATCCTGAGAAACTACAAAGAGATTTGTTACAATGGTTTGCAACATTTCTTCAGGAGTGGACTGGGACTGGTGTGGCCATGATTTTTGTGGAAACTTTTTCAGTTTAACTTAATCTTTGCATTTGGTATAGCGCCTTATTACGTCTTTGAGACATCTCAAGTGCTTCACAGAATATGCTGTAAAGTGAATTGACTGTATTTTTATGGGTGAAATTTGTTCACATTGAGGGAAGGATTATAAACAAGCCTTGTGACTTTTAGTTTTTTTTTCTGAATTTGGGTTAAAAATCAAATGAAGGCAACTGGTGAACAAAATCTAACTTCTATTTTTTAAAAAACAATTTTGTATTTTTATTTTAAAAAAGTGGTTAAATAAGAATAATCCTGGCTTGCAAAACAGTTGGCAGTAAATACTGTTTCACACGAGTCATTTTTGGAAAATTAAATCCCTGGAGTCCTGTAGCTCAGTGGTTAGAGCACTTGCCTTGCAAGCGAGACACCTGGGTTCAATTCCAGGCAGGGCGAAACCTTGGGCAAGTTTCCTTATTCCACACAGAGCCTAATAATAATCCCTCCAAAACAAAAAACAGTAATAAAATTGATCATTCTCAGTCCACGACTGTTTGTGGGACACTGTTGTGTGCAATTGGCTGCCGCGTTTCGCCCACAGATATACAGTCAATTCACTTTACAACGTATTCTGTGAAGCGCCTTGAGATGGCTAGAAGACCTGAAAAGCGCTGTATCAAATGCAAGGATTATTCCAGCGCCTTGGTACGTCCTCCCGATGTGAAAGGCGCTATACAAATGTAATCTTGTTGTTATAATAATAATTCTTGCATTTGATAGAGCGCTTTTCACGTCGGGAGGACGTCCCAAAGCGCTTCACAGAACACACTGTAAAGTGAATTGACTGTATATCTGTGGGCGAACACGGCAGCCAATTGCGCACAGCAATGTCCCACAAACAGTCGTAGATTGAAAATGACCAATTTATTATTGTTTTTGGTTTTGGAGGGATTATTATTAGGCTCTGTGTGGAGTAAGGAAACTTGCCCAAGGTTTCGCCCTCTGTCTGGAATTGAACTCAGGTCTCTCACTTGCAAAGCGAGTGCTCTAACCACTGAGCTACAGGACTCCACAAGTTGTTGTGGAGACTTGTTGTCTTGTTATTGAATTGCTGTAGTGTAGACTAATACTGTACAGATCTAGGAAACTGAATATAACATTCAATGAAAATAAACTTCATTTCTTTTCTAACATTGTTACATATGTAAAAAAGAAATGAAGTTTTTATGTGAGAATTATCATTATTGCATGGTTTGAATTTTAGCTTTGAGACATAATGGTTTCTATTTACTAGTGTCAGCTGTTTCCAGATGAGGAACTTTTTTTTTCCCCGTTACTTAAACCATGTTTAATATTGTACTGTTTTTAAATCAAGCCTAATGCTTTTCCCCTTCTATAGTCACCTTGATACATTCTCATTCTATTATGCTCATTCTATGAAAATTGATTGAATATTCATCCTTCAGATGAGACATTAAACCTAGATCCAGTTTGCCTGATCAGGTGGAGATTAAAAATGCAATGGCACTATTAAAAAACAGAAGAGAAGTGATTTTGTATCCTGGCTGACGTTCCCACAGATAAAATTGGTCATTCACTACATTTACCTACAAAATCATCCACTATATTTCACAGTAAATCCTGTAAAGTGCTTTGAGATGTTGTCCTGATATGAAAAGCACTGTATGAAATGTAAGGATTATTAATTTTATTATAGTTTCACACAAATGTAGATGTATATAACTTTTTATATTTTAGTACCAAATTGCTTTTTGTTTTTGACTCTAGTAATCAAACCAAAGAGGCTTTCATTGATTGGGCAAGATATGATGATGCACAGGACCACTTTTGTGAACTTGACGGTGAGTATCAATTACTTGAGTTGCAGCTAAAATGTCAAGATACGAATCGCTTGGATGCCTTATGCGACATGTGGATATTATTGATAAATTAAAGGGGAAGGAAAACCAGAGGAGTATTAAATTGACTTCACTTCAAAATTAAGACTAAATTCACCAATTTTCCAAATTCTGAACCTCAAATGAATTGAGTAAATCTAGACACGGGTGGGATTTCTCTCCATAAGTCTTCAAACTATAGTCTTGTTGGGTGATGCAACTCTCATAGTGCTTTGCAGAATATACTTTAAAGTGAATTGGACTGTATTTTGTAATAGTTAATCTCTTCCTCCAGATGAATTTTCTCCTGATGCAGAATATGTGGATCTCCTCCTGAATCCAGAACGCTACACTGGATACAAGGGATCATCAGCCTGGCGAGTGTGGAACAGTATCTATGAAGAGAATTGCTTCAAGTCAGTTTTTTTTTCTTAATCTCAATCCTATAGTTCCTAAAGATCCTTTATCCTCCTCATCCTTAAAGAAGCCCAATAGTTAGTAACTATCAATGTGCCAATAATTTTGAGATGCAAGTGTGCATGTATGGAGTGTTTCACACCTTAATGGTATCTGGAAGATTTATTTTCACTATGCTGAAATCATGTGTTTTTTGTATTTTCCCTGCTGTATTAACTGTGGCTTTATTAAATTGTGGCTACGTATCCACTGTATATTTTCTCAATGCTTTAGTGCTACTTTAGTGCTAAAATTGAAGTTTCTTTGTCCTAAAAGTAATTATCACTGTTGCAGGCCTCGTTCTGTATATCGCCCTCTTAATCCCCTGGCACCCATCAGAGGTGAGCTTCTGTACATTTATATATATTTTTGTATTTTAGCCCTTTTAGTTTGACGTGCTTCATGTGCCAATAGTGCTATAACTTTGCTTAAAGTTTGAATAAGCCAGTCTGTTTTCACATCTAGTTTTAAATTTTAAACCTCTGGGTATTCAAAAGAACTTGAGTCACCATTAGTTTAAAATCTGACACATGATCTGTCAAAATTATTTCCTGCTTTATGTGGATTGAAGTAGGATTAAGATTAAATGGAACTACTATTTTTTTTAATAAAAGAAAAATCTAGGGGACTTAAAAGTTTAACTTAAATTTATGAATATTTGTGACAAATTATATACACCTTTTGAATTTTTTTGAGTTCTCAAAAGTTAAAGCTTTATTTACATCCTTCATTATCTAGTTCTTCAATTTGTGTTTTCCAAGTGTATGATTGGGCTCATTGTGTGTGTAGAACTGCATCCCAGGTTGGCCTGGAGACAAGGAGATCAAAGATTAAGTTTTCTGTTCTTAAAAAAAGAGAGAAAGTTATTGACTATCAGACTTGAGTAGATGTTGCTTTGCTTACTGGTTTAAAAATGTGTTGAGGGTAATAGAGAAAGCACTTGCTCTTGGTTCTGTATTTACATGCCACCTAAGCGTGGAAATATCTTTGTTTGGAATGAAGTGAGTGTACTCTCCCTGGAGGGACGCACCCTTCTTACCTGATTTTGGAATATATTGCTACAATAACAAAATTACATTTGTGTCGCGCTTTTCATGTTAGGAGAATGTTCCAAGGCGCTGTAAGTTTACAGATGCAAACTCCCCAAAGAAAGATCCCAAATGTACAGACTGTTTATGTAAGATTACAGCTTTGAATGTGTGAAGTTTCTTGTTTAAAAATGTTAGATAAAACAAACTGTTTTAGGTGCAGATTGGCATAAGTGTGGTCCTGCGGTTTTGGAGGGGTTCTGAAAGAGATTTTACTCTCCACAATATATATTTCCTTATTTTGTCCCATTTTAAAAATGTGTAGCTCCTATGTGTTATGAGCTTCCACTCACTGGGTACTTCTGTGTACTTAAAAACTGAAACTCAATATCACATGGGTGATTTTTGATTTATTCATGCTCCCAGTCAAGAGTGTTTACCTTTTGTGGGAAAATTGCACATGTGAAATTATTTCTATCAAGTCCTTTGTTTTCTATGCGTATCACTTCTCATTCTAACCAGCAAAATTTCCATATTCCATATTCAAATGAGGTTTTCCTCACCGCTCAGAGCTCCACTAACTTTGAAAGCATTTCAAGGAAAATCTTAACCAATGTAAACTCAAAGTCCCAAATGTACAAACTGTTTATGTAAGATTACAGCTTTGAATGTGTGAAGTTTCTTATTTGAAAATGTTAGATAAAACAAACTAAGTTTTTTTTGTCACAGTTAACAGTAATGACTTATTTTCTCTTTTCAGGTGATGATGAAGGTAAGATTGGATACTTGTGTATATATGACCTAAATGACTGAAACTGCATATGGTACTTCAACTCCAGTTGGGTTATGTTTTTCAGATTATTTGTATGTCAAATTTTTTTTTAAGACTTGATGATGGGTAAGCTAGATTGAACCTGCAAAACTGGTCAGTAATGTGAAAAATGATAAAGAAACACAAACGCTAAATCTTCCATAGTTTGTTCAAAGTTTGTGAAAATTAAATGTCCTTGTTTATTGCATTGTTTTGAAAGTGAAAGTATTTTGCAATTCCATGACGTTCTATGAAAATAACAACTATTTGCTACAGTTGCTTTAAAATGTAATCAAAGGTAAAATGTTAGCAATTGTAGATTTTCAGTGAAGAAGTTTTAGATGAATTATATTCATAGCTGTATGTTTGGCTTTAGTAACTATCTAAAATTAGTTTTGTGATTATTATTTATGTCCTTTTGAATACAGTAAAACTCACATAAGTGATATCACTCGGGACCATAATATTTAATGTAGCTTGCTTAATGTCTGAGTTGCAGGCACTCTAAGTTGTATAAAATCCTATTTAATCAATCTACACTGAGCATGCGTAATTCACTGCAGCTGGTAAGTGAATATGCAATGACAGGTCAAGACTTTTTCTACTGTAATTAATTTTGAAGGGAATAGTACAAATTTGTTTTACATATGATTCAAGTAGGTAAAATATTCTGGTGTGATTGTAAGGCAATGAAAGTAAGACACTTACAGGCTTCACTGCTGATTTGAGTTTTCTGAGTACCGGTTGGGATTCTGCAATTAGTTTTAGCAACTCTGTGCCGGTGAATGGAAAAATCAACCAGGAATACTGCTCCTTTTTGCTATCCGGTTAACCCTGCTAGAAAATGTTCATTGGATAGAATCTCTCAGCTATAATGTCCTACATAGACATAAGTTCTAAACTTGCACATGAAGAATGATTAATGCAAGACTGCCTGTGCCCATTTACCATACCTTACCTTGGAGGTGCCACTATTTTTAGGAGAAAAGGTTTTTGCTGTTAATTAATTAGAGCTTCACATTATTTTATTAATACAATGATTTGTTTTTCTGCCTACAGGTGAATCATTCTACAACTGGTTGGAAGGTAATAAAAGAACAAATCAAACATGAAATATTTGAAAAATTCAATAAGAAAAAGCTCAGACTGAATGGATTAAGAGTATTTAGATGGTGTGGGTAAAGAGCAAGGAATTAGGATGGATGACTTCTTAAATGAGCAAACACTGATAAATTGGGCTCGATAACCTCTTATTGTTCTACTTTTCTATGGTTGTATGGATTGAGCTATTTAGTCAGCATGTTGCAGATGTAATTTTAATTTTTGATTGGTTTCTTGGCAAAGTATGCATCAGTTCTAGGCATTGACCTTTCAGAGTTCAGTAGCTGCTTAAGTGGCATGAGTGCTGATCTAGGCTCCATTTGTAGCATGTTTGCCTCTGGGTCAGAAGATTGTGGATTCAGGCCCCAGTAAGAGCTGGAACACGTATTTCAGGATGATACTCCAGGGCTGTAAGATATTGCTACATTATTGGAAATGTTGTCCTTTGAATGAAACATGAAACCAAGGCACAGTTAATGCCATAGTACTGTTTCAAAGTAACCCATTGTGTGAAATAGTTTAACATTTTGGCATGTCAAGATGCTATATCAAATGCATTTTTAAAAAAATTTATAACTATTTTGTGATCCTAATTCCTTAGTGTAATGACGGAAGTGTTTAGGAAAGGATAATTAATGTGAGTTTTTTTTACCTTCTATTTAACGTTTGCATGTTTTGGCGTTTGTTTGAGTTCTGATAAAAATAGTTTATGGAGTTTTGGGTACCCTTGTAAAGTTTTTAAATTTATAATAGTGAGGTAAAGTAGACTGAAGAAATTCCTTGTGATATTTTATTTAGAACTTTAAAATGTTAATTTTAAGATGCTTGCTCTTAAACGTTAGATCTTAAAGGTGGTCATAGTTCAAAGATTGAGTCCTCCCCCTGTAATATCTAAAATGTTATTGATGATGTAAATAAAATGCTTGCATTTGATATAGCGCCTTTTATTTTAGGTGAACTTCTCAGTGTATCACAGGGTGAAGTGTAGTGACTGTTTATTTGTAGATGGATATGGCAGCCAAGTTGCTCACAGCAATGTACCAGAAACAGCCATAAATGAATGACCAATTTTATCTAGGGATTCTGGCCAAGAAACTGGGTGAAACTGCCTTCTGTTTTTCAAATGGTGTCATGGGATTTTTAACGTCCTCCTGAAGAGATAGATGGGACATCTGTTTTATATTTCATCTGAGGGATGGCACCTCGAACAATGCATCACTTCCCCAACAATACATTTGAGTGTAGAATGTAGACTGAGCTCCAAGATGTTCAATGACGGTGAGCAGTGAAACATAGAATTTAAAGCACAGTTTTTTCCACTGACTGGGTATTCTTTTCCTCCCATAAACATACACACAAATATTCACTTACCAGATAAGTATTTCAAACTGAAGCCAGTCTTTCAGTGTTAACTTGCTGGCGGAATAATATTAAGTGTAGACATCTCTTGTTTCCAGTGAAAGATGAACTAGTTGATTAAATTTGAATTTACACTGGTGATAAGATGGTAGTGAAGCATTTATAATCTACCACAAAATACTGAATGACATACAAAAGCAGAAGTCACGGGGAACACTCAGCAGGTCAGGCAGCATCTATGGAGAAAGGAAAGTGAGTCAACATTTCGGGTCAATGACCCTTCGTCAGCACATATATCAACTACAAAGTTGATATGTGCTGTGAAATTGAAACGTTCTGCCTGATTTTGATTAATTTTTGTATTCTAGGTCTTTGTCTTGAAAAGAGGGTGTTTTATAGATTGATTTCTGGACTGCATACAAGCATTAATGTGCATCTCTCTGCAGAATATCTCCTTGATGGTAAGTACAAATGTTTGCGAATTGAGGAATGTTTTTCTGTTTTACTGTTTTTTTTTATAGTTAAGTTAAATATGTAGTTCATTATAATAACTTGTGCGGGTGGGTGGTATTGCTCATGGCCTTGATCAACATTGTTTTTCTGTCTCTTCCTCCCCATTACCTATTGCGTCCTTGTGCTTCCTCTTTTGTTTTTGATGGATTTTTTTAAAAGTCCACTAACATCAGAAAATATTACTCATTCTTGTACTTCACCTGATGTTTTTTCCAAATCACAATTTGAAATGTCAAATCACCCAGTCCTGTTTAATCACTTTAGCCTATCTCATATCTGCTTAACCGCAATACATATAGCTTCCTGAAGCAAACTCGTACTGCTTATTGCATATGCATAGAATGTGTCAGTTTCTACTGTTGCACCACTGCTGATGTCAGTTCCTTTGTGAAGTGACATCAGCAGCAGTTCTTGTCGATGGTGCACATGTAAAGCAAGTGACATTAGCAGCACTTCCTACACTTACCGCACAGGAAATGAGAGAGCAATCTGATGACTTGGATGACAGTCATTTTTTAGTGGGGGAAACCGAATGATCTATGCCAGATGGCTGAAGTGTGTTGTCCTTCTGGTTCCTAAAGGGCACCGGCATTAAAAATGAACTCGGCCATCTAACTAAATGCCTTATTACTTAGTTTCTCTTTGTGTAGTTTTAAGTATTATGCAATGTGTTGTTTCAGATGTATGGGGAAGATCTAGATGGGGACCAAATGTAAAAGAATTCCAAAATCGGTTTCATCCTACCAATACGAAAGGGGAAGGACCCAGAAGGTTGAAGAACCTGTATTTCTTGTACTTAATTCAGTTGCGAGCCTTGTCCAAAGTAGCTACATATTTTGAACGTTCGATCGTGGATCTTTATACTGGGAATCTGACTGAAGACACTGTTACCAAGAAACTGTTGCTGGAGATTTTCAATGAGACCAAGTAAGAAAAATGTTGAGCTGTACACACAAATAATCATTTGCTTTCCTCCATGTTAATTTTCTTAAATAAAATTACAGTCTATAAAGAGATAGCATATTATGATTTTCCTCCTATCAATTTCAAATTTTATGATTAAAATGTTGGAAATGAGAAGTTTTCGGTTTCAAACAGACTTTGTGGATCAGAGAAAAGAAACCAGGATTGTCAATCACTTGTTACTTCTATACACCAAGTAATTGGTAATGAAGTGGCAAGAGACTTGAGTAGCTTGTTTTTCCCCTCTAATCATGGAAATCCAAACTTGCTTGCTAAATTGTCATTTGCCAGCCAGAAACCTTGGAAACAAAATAGAAGTGGTGTTCTCCAGTTCTAACCAAAACAAAGTGTTAAGAGCACAATTCCTGACATGAAGATATAGATTACACGGTCACAGTCTGGTTGCAACTGAAAACTCCTCATTTCCAATGTATGTTATGCACAAAACTCATGTGTCAGCCTTGCTCCACTAGTAGCATTTTTTCCTCAGAGTCAAAATTGTGGGTTCAAGCCCCACATCAGGACTTGAACTGCTATGGTGTAAGCTGACACTCCAATATAGTGCTGGGCTGTGCTGCTTTGTTGAATGTAGTTTTTGTTTGGTTGAAATATTAAACTGAAGTCCCACCTGCCTGTTCAGGTGGAATTTAAAAATCCCATTGGACTATTTGAAAAGAGAAGGGAGTTTCTCCTGGAGTCCTGGCCAACAAATTTCCCAAATAAAATTGGTCACTTTTGTCAATTGCTACGTTTTGCCCACACAATACAGTCAAACCACTTTACAGAAGCACTTTGAGAAGTCTCGATAACATGATAAGGTGCTATATCAAATGCAAGGATTATATTGAAATGCAAGGATTAATTTGACCCAACTAATTTGTCCCATGGTTTATCCTCCACGCAAGCCCCCACCCTTCCTGTTCCCTCTTCTATACTCCCTTCTCTCTCATGTATGCATCCCGTTTCCTCTTAGTATTGATGCCATTTGTTTCCTGTAGCAAGTTCCATATTCTCACCACCCTCTGGGTAAAGAAGTTTCTTGTAAGTTCCCTATTAGATCTACTACTGGTTATCATATTCATGGTGTTACTCGCCACAAGGGGAAACAGCCTATTAGCATCCACCTTAGCAAATCCTTTCATAATCATAAACATCTTTATCAGGTCCCCAATGAATTGCCTCAGCACTAGGAAGAAAAGCTCTAACTTGTCCAATACTTCTTGATAACTACATCTACTCATCCCTGGCAACTTATCTGTAAATATACTGTACTCTCTGATGCTATGTGATGACATCATAGCTGCATTGCATCTCTTTTGTCATATATAATTTTGTCATGTATAATGTATTGAGGAAAATAGTATTTCAAGCGAAATTGGGTATTTATTTTTCTCGTTTTATTTCAACAGATCATTCCCGATGCACTTTGATGAGAAATCCATGTTTGCGGGCGACAAGAAAGAGGCTAAAACACTGAAGGTAGAAACAAAATATTTTGCTTAAAAATATAATTATAGAACTTATTGATCATTAATTATAGAAAAAGCCAAATATTCAGCATAATCCAAAGATGTGATTTATACAATTTTAAACTTCATGTTCTATTAAGTAGGCAAAACTTTTCTCAAGTTTTTCTTAAGCTAGGAAAAGTAATGAATGGTGAGGACGATAATAGCAGAGTGCAAGAGAACATAGATAGACAGGTAAAATGAGCAGACACGTGGCAGATTAAATTTAATGTGAAGAAGTGCAAAGTGATGCATTTTTTGAGGAAGAATGAGGAGAGGCAATATAAGCGAGATGGTAGAATCTTAAAGGGGGTGAACGAACAAAGAGACTTGGGGGTTCACAGAGATATAACTAAATATTTGAAGGTGGTAGGACAGGTAGATAAAGCTGTTAAAAAGGATTCAGGATACTAGGCTTTATAAATAGGGGCATAAAACACAAAAGTCAGGAAGTTATGATGAAGCTTTATAAAACACTAGTTAGGCCTCAGCTAGAATACTGTGTTCAGTTCTGGGCGCCACACTTTAGGAAGGATGTCAAGGCATTGGAGAGGGTGCAAAGGAGATTTACTAGGATGGTACCAGGAATGAGGGACTTCAGTTATGAGCAGAGGCTAGAGATGCGAGGATTATTCTCCTTGGAGCAGAGAAGATTAAGAGGAAACTTAATAGAAGTTATGAGGGGATTTGATAGGGTGAACAAGGAGAAACTATTTCCACTGGTGGGTGGGTTGGTAACCCAAGGACACCGATTTAAAATAGTTGTTAAAAGAAACAGAGGAAAGGTGAAGAGAAATGTTTTCACACAGTTTGTTGTTTGGATCTGGAATGCATTGCCTGAAAGGATAGTGGAAGCCAATTTGATAACAACTTTTAAGAGAGACGTAGATAATTATTTGGGGAAGGTTAAGTTTGCAGGGATATAGGGAGAGAGCAGGGAGTGGCCTCGTTCTGTACTGTATGATTCTATGAAGTTGCAGGGTTTTTATCTGCACTGGAATTCCTGTATGTTCAAGGTTCTTGACAGATATTGGCATTATTTACTATATTTCTGTGGTTATGTGATTTTGGCTGGCAGCTTTTTTATTCATTTTAAAGTAATAGGTGCCAGTCAATGTATTAAAGTAGTGGCTGTGAGTCTTCGTGGAGTGATCTTTGAAGAATTGTGAGCAAAGATCCTGCTGCACAGTTGGAGGATCAATTTTGATTCGGGAGAGTCTGTTCATGCTCAGAGTACTTTGTGGAACTCTGCTTACTTTGCAGAACACAAGTACTTTGGGCATTTGTTGAGCACTTAGCTGAAATAACAAAAGGGCAGAGCTTGGGATTCTGGTGGTACAGGTCGCAACAAAAAATAGTACTAAAGGAAAATGCTGAAATGTGGGCTATGTAGAGTATGTGACCAAGTCAACCAGGCAGGGAAGTTATTGTAGTAATTATGATGTCCATATAGTCTTTGATATTGAGCCAACAATTAATTGGCTTTTCTCATTGCTTTTCTGCATTTCCAACAGTTTAGATCACAACAAAACATCACATTTACTTGATTGAATATTTCGTGATTTAGGCCATAATTTATTTAAAACACTCAGCTAGATTATTGCTAATGTTCCACGTGGCATTTCCAGCCCATGGGTTGGCCACAATTGGTGTAGATTACAGTGAGTGATTTTTGTTGTTTACCTAGCTAATTATTTAGAAATTGTTTTACTTGGTTCTAGGTAGGATCAATGTTTTTAGCTTCAACACATACTTCTTTTCACAGGAGGAATTCAGGCTCCATTTCAAAAATATCTCTCGTATAATGGATTGTATTGGATGTGACAAGTGCAGATTATGGGGAAAGCTGCAGGTTTGTAGATTTATATAATCCTGTATAACAAGAAATGTTTGGTAATCTCTACTTTTTTTGCATTTTGGAATTCAATTTTGTATGTTACTGTAAATGGAGTTAACATTTAAATGGCCACCAACTTTAGAGTTAATGTGAGAATGTTCTCTTGTTGGTGAAGACTGATCTATTAACTAAATTGCAATTGGATAGGAATCAAACAATACAGTTTCTGGTCCAAGTGGTTTGGAAGCTGCTCATTGAAAATAAACTATTGTTTATTTCAGAGAATAATTTTTCTGTATAATTATAATTTTCTCAAATTATATTGTTTGGTTATTAGTTGAGTGTGATTCAAAAGCAAAATGTATTGTGGAAACCCTATTTCAAGGGACAAAATAATAGTTCATCCTCGTCATCCTCCACATATCTAAATACAGAATCATTGAGGAATTCACAAGAGGAGTAGTTTCCTCTTTAAGACTCTTTTATGCCATTACTTGTGTTGCAAAACATTACAAATTTGCATCTGGGAAGAGGTTCCAAGTTGCTTGTCAGGAGGTGCCCTTTATATAAGGTGAGGCCTCCCTAATGGCCCTTCAGTTTGCTTTTCTCCAGTTGAGAAATAGACTGCCATGCATGGTTTGTTTCAAAACAAAATTCCTGACTTTGTAAAAGATATCACAAAAGTCTGGACTCCAGCTTTGGCCAAAGTACTCCTAGGCCTTTATGTGGCATATGGTTCTGATCAGTGCCTTTGATACCTCAGTGTGTTTCTTCAACGTGTCAAGTATGCTTAGACATTTCTGCCAGCTCCCAGGTAGATTGAATAAACTACGGGACATTATTAAGGGAAAAAATCAAATGAAGTCAAATTGCACAAGCAGTACTAACCAGTTCTGCAGGTCTCAGCCTTTCTTCACCCAAATCGGCTTACACAACACTCCCACATACCTTCCCTATAGCTCCACACACTGCTACAGAATAGGTAAACATTCCATGCAAGGAAAAAACTTTGTGTTATGCTGTGACTGACCATGCTAGGCAAGAGTCCTCAAGGGGTTACCAAACACGATTGACACCTTCAATACCAAACTTGGGGTTTCAGTATTTGGTAGTACAAAACATGTCTGGTGAATCTCCTGTCAGTGCACACTGGAAAAAGATGACTTTATTCTTTTGCCAGTCTGCCACTTTCTTCTAAATTAACACTGATCGGAGAACCTCAGGTACTAACTGACTGGAAAAGCCCACTGCTGTCAGCAGCTAGCCTAAAGATAGTGAATGGTTCCCTTAGTGGCAAGGTTTTGTCTCACTTGGTCCATGGCTACTCTGTGAACTCTTTACAGAGTAGCTTTGTCTGCTGGTGAGCTGGTTTGTGTGAAAGGATCTCCCCTGTTCCTCCTTGACCTTTCTGCTGCCTTCAATGCTGTTGACCACTCTGTCCTCCTCCACTGTTTCTCCTCAACCTTCATGGTTCTGTCCTTGAATGGTTCCAATCCTACCTCTCACGCTGTCTATAATTCATCTCCACAAACCGTTTCTCCTCTAGCCCCCACATTGTTTCATGCAGCGTTCCTCAGGGCTCTGTACTCGGTCCCCTCCTCTTCAATATCTATATGCTCTGTTTTGGTGACATTATCTACAGACATGGGCTCAACTTCCACATGTATGCGGATGACACCCAACTCTTATCTCTCTGCCTCCACCCTCGACTCTAGGACCACTGTTGTCCTGACAGAATGTCATACATCAAATCCTTATGAGAGCTAACTTTCTACAGTTGAATGTCAGTAAGACTGAGGCTTTCCTGATTGGCTCCCGTTAGCACCTCCACACCTCAGGCGCTGACAGCATCACTATCCAAGGATGCACACTCCACCTTGTTTGGCCCTCAACTATCCTTTCTACCCCATAACCATGCCATGACCCGCTCTGCCTTCCCCCACCTCCGCAACATCGCCCGGCTCCACCACTGTCTCGCACCACAGGCTCCCAAGACCCTCATACACACATTCATAATATCCAGGCTCGACTTGCAAACTCACTGCTTGTCGGCCTCCCCAACTCCTCCCTCCATAGGTTGTAGATCATCCAGAGCTCTGCAGCACATGTCCTCTCAGGCTGCGTGACCTTATCACCCCCAGCCTCGCCCGACTGGCTTCTGATCACACAGGTTCATGATCCGGGTCCTCACCTTCAAAGCCCTCCATGGCCTTGCTCCGCCCTATCTCCATGACCTGCTAACACCCTACCAACCTATATGCTCCAGTCTGCTTCACATCCCCCGCCTCACCTGCCCCACCAATGGTGGGCGGACCTGCATCCACTCTGCCCCCATCCTCTGGCACTCTATCGCGCAGACCCTCTGCCTTGCCTTCTTGAAGACCCATCTCAAGACCCTCCTCTTCAACTGCCTTTGATCACACTCCTTCCCCAACCCCCTGCCTTCCACATTCTCCCCACCCCTCACCCCAATCCTGAAGCTCGGATCCAAAACACTGATTGTCCAGTTCTACCAATGTGAAAGACGCTATACAAATGTAATTTTGTTATTCTGCTATCTACAAGTCTAAGTCTTCTCTTGCTACACCACAAACTCTCTTTGGAATTACATAGAGTGCTTGATTATTAAGGTCCCCTCATTTTCACTTCTACCTATGAGCTTTCTTATCAGCATTTCTGCACTTAAACCACCAAAGGTTCTTATACTGCCCTATCTATATGTCTTTGAAGACCGAATGAGCTCTGAGGAGTTCTTGAGACTTTCACAATAGGCAAGAGTAAGAATTAATGATACTCTTCCAGACCACACAGAACAATTGCCTAACAAGTTAGGAAAGTTAATGCTTTAAACTGAGGAGTCTGAATTTATCTTCATCAGTAATAGTACCTCTAGTCAACATCTCTGAATATCCCATAGATTTTTTAGGATTTGCCCAGGGCCACCGTCTGGTTCATTATTAAGGACATATAGATCGACTGTTTTAAAAACAACCTCCTGTTGCAGTCGGGCCTAATTTGCTTCATCATGCCTCCTGTGCAGTCGCAGGGAGATTGGCCTATTAAGTGTTATTTGATCATACAGATCTTTAGTTTGCCTCTTCCTGAGAGTTCAAGTGTGCCTGCGTGCGTTATATGTGTAATAACGACAATATGTAAAATGTGTGTTACATTCTTATCTCCTGTCCAGACTCAAGGTTTGGGCACTGCTCTGAAGATTTTATTTTCAGAACGGGAAATCCAGAGTCTTCCCGAGAACAGTCCATCGTCAGGCTTTCAGCTCACTCGTCAGGAAGTTGTTGCTCTTCTGAATGCATTTAGCAGGTAAGAAATACTTTCATAAAGTTTTGGATTTATTTGCAAAAGGAATATATTGTTCAAGTTTAGTTTTCAAAAATTTGTGTTAAAACCATGATGAGACACAGGACTGGTTAATAGGTTTATATGCAACTTTCGTTAAAACATCAATATGTATTTGGAGAGGGGATGAAATGAATTTGTTACTTGAGTTTTCAGTATTGTTCTCATAAGAAATATTAAATAATCCCTTGAGATTCTCCGTTGAGAAGAGTTTTGTGTTTTATTACATATTTTGTTGTTTTCAAAGAAGAAATATCCTTCAAATATCCTTTTTTGAATTTCAGCAGAGGGTTTCTTAAAAGACAAAGTGCTTAATGGTATTGGAGCATTTTAGAGCTGCTTATGTTCTGTTCTAGAGTAACAAGCCTCTTGGAAATTAAGCCCTTTTAAGAGTACTTGTTTTCAGTCACAAAAAAATGGCTTCAGGCATTAAAATACTATATAGTTTGGATGCTTGAATAACTTTACACTGATGTCTGTTCTTTCAGGTTGTCAAATAGTATACAAGAATTGCAAACCTTCAAAATGCTGTTGAAAAACAAGAGGTAACAAATGCTGTCGGGAGCTACAATGGCAGGTGCTTGTAGGATTGTAGGATTGCCCCAAATATTGGCATTCACCAGAATTTCAGACTCTTCAGGGATTCGTAACTGTTAGAAATGTTACAGTGTAGAATTGTCTTGAACTTCATTCATCAAAATATTGATAATCCGAACAAAAGGTGATCTACACTGTTCTGTTTCCTGGTGTTGATGAACACATTTTACATTTCTGAATCGCTTGTTCCTTCACTCTCTTTAACATTTTGTTCAGCAACCTAATTTAAGTGAAGTGCTCTGAAAGTGGCTTATTGTTGCTACCCAAATTGTGGTGTTCGTTGTTTGCCTTTTTTTGGATTATTTACGTTTTGTTTGAATTCAATGATAACCAAATGTCTCAGTTGAAAAAATATAAAAGTATATACATTTGTGATTATTTGTCTGCACTGATGTTCTGTTAATTGTTTTTTTTTTCGAACTCCTATGGCTTTGGGGTTTCTGTGGCTTCACAGAGCTTCTGTTACACACCATCCATCATCAGTTTTACATACTGAAGATTCTGATCTGAATGGCTGAATTAAATTATAATTAGCTTGTCAGCATGAACAGAGTGCATGCATTTTGCAGACTCTGAATCCTTTCCAATGTAAAACAAAAGCCCAACCTATTCATTTAATCTAATTGTATAATCTCTACATTGCAAGTCACCTGATTACATGACAGTTTTGTAATGAATAAAAGCAATTTATTGGAAAATGTATTGCAGTTTCTGCAAAATGAGCTGATAGTATATCTCACTCGTGTTTAATTGTACACTTGAAACCTGTGGGGAAATAAAGCAGTTTTTAATGTTTAACTTAAAGGGGTTGTAAATCTACTGCAGGAAAGCTCTATTAATGAGTTAAAAAAAGGTTCTTTGAAATTGCCTCTTCAAATTTACTTAATCTGTGTAAGCAAATCCTTCAGACTATATTTCACACACCAAAATTCTACATTTTATAATATTGTTTTCTTGAGCAATAGTTAGCTTTTCTGAATGTTTTTCCTGTTACTTATGTTTTGTGAATCACTTCCAATAACTGTTTATTTCATATTTAAATATTCTGAATCAAGCAGAAACTCTGGTCTGACCTCACCTGTTAATGTATGTGATAGACAATGTCTTGAGGAAAATGGTGATGTGTGTGCATAATACAAGTAGACGTTAGAGCAAGTTTTTTCATAAAAATCTTTCACAAGTAACAAGGTGATTATAATTCCTTTCCAAAACTGTACTTATTGCTTTAAGCTTGTGTTGAAACATTTCATGTTTAATTGTTATGAAACATTTTTAATCCCTGTGTTGCTGACAAGAGGAAGTTTCTTGGTGCGAAAATGTCTGGTTCACATGGTCAAAGTATTTGTGTTGAATTTACTCTAAAATGTCAAGATCTATGCTTGATGTGTATGTATCCTTCTCCTTACTCAAATTTGTAAGTGGAGACTTTTTACCCATGGCAGATACAAGTTTGCACTTACAACAACAAAATTACATTTAGAGGCCTTTCACGTTGGGAGGATGTCTCAAGGCGCTGGACAGTCAGGGGTCAGGACCCGAGCATGGGGGATGGGTGGGGTAGGGGTGAGGGAAGGTTGAGAGGTGTGAGGGCGACCGAAGGCAACATCGAAGAGGAGTGTCTTGAGACCGGCTTTGAAGGAGGCAAGGGAGGAAGCGAGGTGAAGGGACTGTGAGATGGAGTTCCAGAGTGTAGGGGCAGAGAAGCTGAAAGCTTGACCACCAATGGTTGGGCGGGAGACATGGAGCAGACCGGAGCCTGCAACAGAGGGAGCGGCAGGTTGGTAGGGAGTCAACAGGTCAGAGAGATAGGAGGGGGCAAGGCCATGAATGGCCTTGAAAGTGAGGACGAGGATTCTGAATTCGATCCTCTGGGGGATGGGGAGCCAGTGGAGTCGGGCGAGGGTGGGAGTGATGGGGTCATGGAGACTGGTGCGCGAGAGTACACGAGCTGCAGAATTTTAGATGATCTACAGCTTGTGAAGAAAGAGTTGGGAAGGCCGATGAGGGTATTTCCATAATCTGACCTCAAGGACACGGTCAAACCGCATTATCCTGAACTCAGTCAGGCCTTCAGGAAAGAAGGGAAGGGCTGTCAGCTGGAAAATAATTACTTCTCACACTGAAGGACAGAAAATCACTTGTGTAATTCCTCCTCACACTTTCCCAGAAACAGATGGATGACCTAGGACTGGATTATCTTGTTGGCAAGTGAATGATGTTTGGGAAAAGAGGGTTTGCTTTTTTAAAATTAAAAAATATATATAATACATATACAGGTCATAGCCAAAAGAACAAATAATTAAAATGTTCCTTTAGTTTTACTTCTCTCAAATTTATTTTACAGGGTATAGTGATCTTAGATGAGAGGATGAGCTTTGATGGGGTGAATGACATTTGCTGGTTCCCTAAACCTCAACGCATTTTTAAAAAAAACCTGTTGCAATGGTCTTATTTTAGCTCTGATAGCATCTGATATTAAATTACACCATTTAAGGTGGGTCTGAGATTTCCTTTTATGATATTCAGAAGTCTGACGTTGGGGAAAATTGGAGCAAGTTTATAATTAGGAATGCAAACATTCCATATCAACTACTGGAGTATCATGGACCTTTTAATTTGTAATAATCCCATTGCCATCCTCTTTGTAATGATCCACCATGCTTTTAAATATTTAATTAATGTTCTAGTACTAAGAAGTCCACAGACAAACAGGATATGTGTATGTGATTAGTATTTTGCCCTATTTGTTAACCCTTGGACTGCCACAGGTAGCTCCAGTCTCCATGGGCTAGCATGTTTATTTGCAGCTCACTAGAACACTTGGAGGAAAAAGAATATTACATTGCGAAAGCTACTGAAATCAAGATTACTACTTCAGTAATACTTGACCTTGAATTACAAAAAATAAGTTTAAAAGATTTAAAATAAAATTACACAATTGATATAGGTTTAATGTTTGCCTTGTAATCATTATATCCTGTTTTGCTTGTATCATTACATTTTTAACCTATTCTGATTATTTTACATCCCTATTTTTTATTTTGAAATGTGTAACTTTCTAGTTCTCATGGTATATTTTTGAAGCTAGAACAATTGTATTTGTTTTGTCATATTAAAAAAAGTCAAATATGCTTTACACTCAAAAAATGCTAACCATTAAAAATAGTCTTTGATAAAAGTTGTCAGACACTGGAAGTGGAGAGGCTGCAAATGAGTAAGCTTATTAGCAGCTCCCACAAGGAGATATCACTTGTACACGGACACATCTGTGGCATCCCAAAGGTTAAGTCGAGCAAATGAAAGTTGTAAATTTTAAGTTTGTATTTTGCATAAGTAATAACCACTGTTGTTTATTACAAATGCTGCTTTACCCTCCTCCACTAGTTAAAATTTTAGGAGAGAAGCTGGATTATCTGATTATTACACAGACCATTTTGCAGCATTCCTTTCAAATACAGCAGAAAACAGTATCTAATAAAGCATTTTTTTAGCAGTTTAACATGTTTTAGCTGAAAGTATATTATTGGTTATATAGGTAAAATGGATAATTTCTAAATGTGCACCATAGTATTAAAATAATCTGAAACTGTAAAGTGCAATCAGTACACTAGAACAATTAAAATGTCAATACTCCTTAAAAAAGGTAATTTTAATGAATGAGTGTATGAAAATGCATTTTGAGCACATTTTTTGCAAATGCTGACTGAGACCCTAAGATGAAAAACCCAGTTTTTTCTTTCCCCTTTGCTCCACTGCTTTGTTAAAATATTAAAGCAAATAACAAAACTTGGTATTTTGTGTAACATTTCACACCACTTTTATTTGCATGATCAGCACTAATATTTTCTGTGCATCTGTGCCCTGCCTTAAGTAAAAAGTTGCTTGCTTGCTCATGTGACAAAACTGATTGTAAAAAAAAATGATTTTTATTTTATATAAATCTTCAATTCATTCACCCCAATGTTCTGAACCTTCCGTAATTAAGTTCTGATCTTTATATGCTTGTCCTTATCTATTACTAAATATAAAAGAAACAATTGAACAATGTTGCATTGCACTTCTAATGTGTTTACTGTACCCATGAATATATTTATTTCAAGAGTAATAAATTTTCCTGGCTATCCACTTTGAATATCTGCCTTATTTGTTGTTTAATTGTGTTGATTAACTTGGAAATTTATGATATGATTTTATTTGCTAATTTGTTTATTTATTTGTGGTATTTTAACTTGCAACAATAAACTGGAAAAGGAGGAATTGAATCTAAAATCTTCAGTTGCTCTATACCTCACAGATCCAAAGTTAGTTTCAGTTGCCTTGGTTTCAGAAACTTAAAATGTTTCTTTAATGTGTTGATCCCTGCCTGTCCAGGGCCTTGGGACATTCCTCCTGATGTGAAAGGCGCTATACAAATGTGATTTGTTCTTGTTGAACTAAACCTCACTTCCACCATGTTATTGAGGCAGAATGCCTGATTTGCTTCAGAAAATGTGATGCTGTCATCTGGGTCCCCAAGTGGTAAGTGTACCTGATATGAGTGTACAGCAAATGCCTGATAAGTGCAAAAAGAAAAAAAAAATCACCAACGGAATTGTAAATGCATTCTTTGCTCTGTCTGAACATTGTCAAAAGCATTATTTAAAAAACACAGTAATGTGTGAAGTGCACAAAAACATGGATTTTTCTCATTCCCCATAACTGGAAATTATGAGTTTTAATAAATAGGAACAACAGGCTTGTTTCTCAATTTTTTATTTTTATCTATAATTCAAATAGCATGATCTTATCAGTTTCACCCACCTTCATGCATGTCTTCAAATCATCAAACTCCTTTCAGTGTTAAGTGAACTAAAAATCCTCTCTGCATTCCCTAATTTCCAATTAGTTGGTCCTAGCCAACTATCTAATTGGACTTTTTTTAAATTGTGAGGAATCAATCACATGGTGAGTGTTTGTTCACATTGATCTTTTGGGCAAGCTGTCAAGTGGTGATACTTCCCCATACAGCTGAAATGGAAGAAGTCAACCCAGAGCACTCTCAAATAATCTACCAGTAAAGGAACAACTCATAGCAGATTGATAATAAATTGCAGAACAGACTAAGGAAAAACTAGAAGTGGGAAATGAGTTATTCATATTCTGCAAACAGCCAGATACTATTCTAAACTGGGTTTACACTATTGATCTTGTAAATGTCCTCAGCAGTTTAAATATTTAATGGCTGAGCTACAACCTGATTACTACAATGGTTTTACAGACTGCTACGTTAACAATTATTTAGACTTACTGTTGCACACATAGCAATATAAACTTACAATAATTCGAGCTACAGAAGTCTTAACTGGTGTAACAAAGGAAAGCTTCAAAGAAATATCACGCACATTAAATGGTTGTATCTGATGGTTTAAAGGGAAGATGCATTTACTTGCAGTATTTCCAGGTCAGTGTATTTACATTTATGTAAACTGGTATGCAGTTCCATGGTCCCTCTGATTATCACCTATGATTATTCTTCTTCTATCAAGCTAGATCATGAGTGTCAACAGACTCAGACTAATGGGCATGAAATATTAGTGAGAGGCATGAAAGCTGAGCATGATCCTGTTCTCCCCTCGTGTTGTTCTGTCCACGATCCACCCACTTATCACCAATGAAGAGTAGAAAAAGCAATGAAGAATAGGCGATTCTGGTCTGTATGGCTTAGTATTGAGAAATTATGCGTTGAACTACTTATATTTTAGTTAACAGGTGCCTGACATGTGGAAGCTTGTTGCAATGCTTGAGTAATTTGTGTCCTCTCCCGCACCAGGCTCCATGACCCTATCACCCCATCCTTGCTCCACTGGATTCCCATCCCCAGAGGATAGAGTTCAAAATATTAATACTTACATTTGATACAGTGCCTTCTCATGTCTTTGAATTTCAAGGCGCTTCATAGAATATACTGTAAAGTGAATTGAGTGTATATTTTGTAGGTGAAATGCAACAGCCATTTGCGCACAGCAGTGTCCCATAAACCTGGATTGAGTGACAAAATTATTATTTTAAAAAAATTTGAAGGCATTAATTATTACCCCAGGAAACACAATCTGGCAATTGACTCACAACTGGGTTCCTACTTACTGCTAGGTAAACAGGCAATGTGGAGTAAGGAAACTTGCTTAACCCAGGTCCTGACCCCTGACTGTCCAGAGCCTTGGGATGTCCTCCCGATGTGAAAGGCATTCTATAAATGTAATTTTGCTGTTGCAAGACGAGTCCTCTAACCAATACGCTACAGGACTCCACAAATCCTTGACTTCACCTTCAAAGCCTTCTACAGCCTTGCTCCTCCCTACCTCTGTGATCGGCTAACACTGCATCAACCCATCCGCTCCTACTGCTCAGCAGGCTCTGACCTGTTTCATGTCCTCTGCCTGGCCCGCCCCACCATTGGCTGTCAGGCCTTCAGCCTCAATTCTTTGGAACTCCATCCCACAGTCCCTTTGCCTCGCTCCCTCCTTTGCCTCCTTCAAGGCCCGTCCCAAGACCCTCTTAGATCGTGCCTTCAGTCACCCTCCTACCCCTACCTTCCCTGACCTGCACCCCTCTTGATCCAAACTCCCTGCTCGGGTCCAAATCCCTGATTGTCCAACGCCTTGGGACGTCCTCCCGACATGAAAGGCGTTATACAAATGTCCAGAGTTTCGCCCATACACTGGCAAAGTGAATCTTTTCGTCAGAAATGGAATATGGGTTCTCTCCCCAGAAAGACTCTGCTTGCTCATCTATTCCCGGAGAGTATTGAGCGCAGGTTGACAAGAACCCAGGCTTGGGCATCTGAGAGTTCTTGTTGGGGTACTGTGGAGGTTTAACCTAAATCCATCTGCCTTTCACCTTCCCTCTCAGTTTTCAAAACCCTTTAAAAAATGTATCTGACTGCTCATTCAGTCATCTCCTTCATACTACCTCAGTCTCACATCCTCCTCAGGCACCTCACTCCATCTCTAAGTGCTCAAGAGGATTAACTCCGTGAAAGGTGCTACAATTATAAACTGTTCTTGAGATTGTGAACTTAGAACTGGGAAACTGAAGCTTACCCGGAGTTAAAGATTTTTAGGCACAGCAAAGAATTCCTGAATGTGTCAAATATCAAAACTGACCGAAACACATCCACGACATTGAGAAACACACTGAACCTTACCTACACTCACATGTAGGATTACTTGGTGCATCTGAAGAACCCCATGGTTTCAGTTCAGTACAGGAACAAAAAAGCCTTCTGTAAGATTGGTAATATCAGGATTTGATATTAATTTCTAACTTTGGTTTAGTTACATTTGGACAAGAACATTTTTTCTTTAACAGTAGGCAGGAATGTCCAAGGCACATAGCATTTTCTAATTTCCCAAGGTATCTGCTGAAGTATTCCAGCGCAAGAAAAATTTGCTAAGCATCTCAGGGTCTAATTTATTTAACATTTCATCCACTACCTGTCTGGCTCTCATGGCTTAGGTTCTTACGATGCCTCAGATTGGAGGGTGATTCTTTCTAGTTTATAAAGCACCATGTAACAACTACTAATACATTGCCATAATTGAGTCCAAGAGAGGTATTAAGGGTATGGTGAAAGGGCTGGGCATTGGAATTAATAGATCTGCCAAGATTTAATAAACTAGTAGAATAGACTTGATGGGCTGAATGGCATCATCGTGTTCCTATTTAAAGTCCTCCATGATCTTTCTTCTCCCTCTGCAACCTATCAAAACTTCACCAACCTGTCCGCTTCCTCTGGGCTGCTCCACATCCCCTGACCTACCTACTCCACTATTGGCGATTGGGCCTTAAGCCTTTCTGCCCCCACCTTCTGGAACTCCATTCCGAAGCTCTTCCACCTCACCTTCTTGAAGGTCTGCCTCAAGACTCCTTTTTGGCCATGCATTTGGTCATCTTCCCTCCTCCACCCCCCCTTGTTCTCCTCCCCTTCATATCCCAACCCATAGCTTGGATGGAAGCCCCTCATTGTTTAGCTCCTAGGGAGGTCCTCCCAACGTGAAAGGCACTATATAATTGCAATTTGTTGTTTTATTTTCTTGTGTTCCTTACGTCACTGAAATATTCTTCCATAGCTTTTTGAGTTTCACTGCAATTTCCTTGTACAATTTTTACTTCATTGAATCTGACAAGTTCCAAATCGCCTCAGTATGTCTGCTGTAGATGCTAACTAGATGTAAATATTTAATTAAATTATTGTTATTAAAATTCCAATGCATTGACGTTTTGATCCGTTCTTAAACTATTCATGCAATGAGTATCCAAACCATTATAGATGAAAAAGATACCGATTTGAAACCTGGTTGGTGCTGAGGTGACAAACCCGATAGCTTATCTTGTTTGTGATGTTGATGAGGACAGTATCTGGCTCAACTCTAATGTCTTTGGTGGTTGAATACCAGGCTGCCATGTGTGGTATCCGAGGACTATTGTCACTTGTGAAATTACTCCAGACGAGTCATCCCATCCCCAGGTGAGAGAAAATGGTTTCTTTAAGTTCAAAATCCATTAAAAAGGTGATTGAAGGTGTGGATGCTTTTGCTGTACGATGACTGAATAGGAGCTTACACAGATATACACAACAAAGCTTAAGGGAGGTTACGGTGAAACAAACCAGGTGCAGAGGAAGACAGGTTTCAGATTTCATTGACAGAGCAGTAATGTGTTGGAACAATTTCTTCCTTTTCCTCAACAAGAAGCTGTTGTGTACAGTATTGGGTTTCTAGGAGACTGATTTGTGTAAAAACATATAACTGTGGTAAGCGAGGTTTCTTGAGTTCCTGAAAGCTTACAAGAAAACCAAATTAACAAGTGGCCTGAATAAAAGATTCTTCAGCAGATGATTTATTGTTAAAGATAAAGCATATTTTAAAAGATGAAATAATTGTCTAATTACACCTTATACTTAAGTAATGAATATGGGCTGAGCCTCCAATGTAACTAATTTAGAAAAAAATAAACCCCACCATTTTGGTGGGTATCATTTATCCTGAGTGGATCTAAAGCTGGTACTTTTGTCAGTATGAATGTTGGCCTGCAATTTCCAAATACAGTCTGCCACCAAATCTGCTTGGCTCTTACACCCATGAAACTGGGTCATCCTGCTCTCTTCTGTATTAGATACTTGGACCAATTTACTCTGCTGCTTTTCTGACATATATACACTTTTTTTAAAAAAAATCCACTTTTTCAACAGCAGTTTAGCACAGTGAACAGAGAAGCATGATACAAAGTAAGTATCATTAAAAATGCCAAGAAGGAGGGAGGCCAGAGAAGCTGCAACACGGCAGGTCCATCTGTTATCAACCATAATCACCCATCGTTTGTGTAACAGCCCTGCAGCATTAATGTTTCGCAAACAGCTTTAAATGCTCAGTTCAGTGCTTCAGCACAAACAGTATATGTGCTTTGAAACACACACCAAAAGGACCTGAATAGAAAAGAGATAAAGGATCTGATAGGATTATATTCCAGATATGACCCATCATCTGTTGAAATATTAATTCTCCTCTTTCATATCCTTCTGTGTGGATTTCCAGTGTTTTCTGGTTTTATTCCATCATTACCAGTTTTTTTTATCCCTTTGGAAAAAAAAAAGTCACTGATGTATGTTCACTTGGCTGTAGATGGGAATCCCTCCATGTAAACCAAGAGGCTATATGCTACTGCATTAGAGCAAAAATAGGATGGTTTAAACAACCCCTTTAATGCACTGCACAGTTTGACTCAACTATAAATACCACCACTGCAGAAATGTGAATTTTCGTTCTGCTGGTCTGTGCAGACTTTCTCCAGCTGTGATAGGAACGTACTGGCACCAAAGTAAGAGACAAGAAAGCATCCATCGCCAAACACATGCGCACCTTCCAGCAGGGAGCATTGTATCAGGATCAGGAGCAAGATTACTGGCTGATTTCTCCCCTCCCCACAAAACCTGGTTAGATTCACCTATCTCCATCCTAGTGGAGATCAGAGTAGGCAAGGCAATTAAACCTAGGGTCTTCAGTCTGACTTTTACAATAAGTGGGTAATCTGGATAAAACCTATATAGTTAGCAACAAGGGTTTTCGATACAACCTTCACAGTACTTAACACCAAGATCCAATTCTGAAGTAATTCCCAAAGCTGCCAGCAGTCCTTGTTGAAGGTGCTTTTCCTCGAGTTACCAACGTATGGAAGTGTGAGTAATTGTCTTGTTGAATGATTGCTCCCTGTTTAAATTAGGAGTGAAGGAGAAGAGTTGTACTGGTGAATTTCCGCGTCCACTGCCATGTGGGAGTCTGAAGCAAAGGAAACAAATTCTGCATAGATGTTGTTCTGGTTCTGAAATCCATCGGAATCAGAAATTTGGGAGTTGCTTGAAGGGCTGTAAGAAGGAAAGTTACTGTGAATACATGTGAAATTGATGTATTCACCCGATAACAGAGTAATCTGCTACTTTAGTCATCCTTATTTGATGACAGTCTTACATCCAGAATAAAACCATGTTAGTTTTCCCTTCTATCACTTGTCCCCTCCCAAATATAGATAAAGGACTATACAATCATATGGTTTCGACATACCCACCATTGAGAATAAATTCAAGAGTCTAAGAGCTTTGGGCCTCAAAACCAAAGCTATCTCATCACAAAGTTCATTGTTACTGTCAACGAGTCAGTAAATCTGATGCTTTTGTGAAAGTAAATAAGGTCTATTCATCAGTGAGGCTCATATTAAGTAGGACGCTGATACTATTTACTATTAAAAATGTACTACCTGCTGAGAGTGAAAAGATACCTGTTCCAGGGAGACTAGATCTGTCCAATAACAAAGGAAACAATGTCCAGATTTCAATAGTAAATAGGTTGTAGAGAATATTATCATACTCTAGATGGTGATGCAAGTTACTTCCCTAATATCAGACAACATGTTTAGTAATTACCTGTGTGCAATTTGAGCTGTAACATTCCATGTTAGGTCATCCTCACTGTCATAACGCCGAGGATTATCAAAGAAAAAACCTCTGGGAGTATTGATGGAGCTTATTCCATTCCCTGTCTAGGAAAAGCACAGGAAACCCGAATCAGTGAGATTGCAAAAAGCAACATTTTCTAACAGAATCAACAAACGGTTGGTGAAAAAGTTTGAAGTCCTATCAGATGTTTATAGTAGTTTTTAAACATTCAGAATGATGGTGACCAGGTTATTGTCAATAGTGCTCAAGACAAAGGAAAACTGCGATCACAGCATCATCCCTGGTGTTATTCTCTAAAATGATGTGCGATCAAATGCAAGGATTATTATTATTAAATATTCACAGGTTCTTATCAGCTCAGTGATTTGCACTTTGATTACTCGGGTACAATTCTTCTGCATTGATTACTGGCAACATCAGTAAGATCACGGCATGAAGTGACAGGATGGGAGTTTGTCATCTGACTTCCAACAGGACAAGTTGGCAATCTCAGCCATGCAGTAAGAGAGGTGATGAGTGGCAGATGGTGCGATGCATCCTTCATGTGAGATGTTAAACCAAGGTCTTGTTTTGGTGGATGTTAATGATCCCATGGCACTATGTGAAAAGTGAAAAGTTTTTCATGATGGCCTAGCCAACAATCCCCCAGTAAAATCATTCACGTCATGGTTATTTGTGGATAGACGCTATATAAATGAAATTTGTTGTTCCTGTGTGTAAATTGGTTGTTGTGTTTGCCTATAGATACACTTTACAGTAAATCCTGTGAAACTCTTTGCAACATTCCAATGATGTGATCAGGTGCTTTATCAAAAGTGAGAATTATTCTTTTATAATTTTATCCAAATTTTGTGATAATCTTAATTTTATTACCGTTCCCCTGGCTCGGAAATAAATGATTGAATAACCTGCTGACACTCACTGTCCTGGCTCATAAAGAAGAACATTTGTATGATGTACTGGTGTCTATGTATCTCAGCCAAAGTAAGTGCCTTTAGGAGAGGAGGAAGGAAGAAAATTTGGACTAGAGAGAAATAAATAAGCAATTATTAGGAGCTTTGAATTAATAGGATTTGGCCTCAAAGTCTTTTGCTATTGCGAGCTCCCCAACCATCAACCATTGGGTAATCATTGAGGAGTAACCACAATTAAAATGTTACAAAGACACTATCAAAAGGCTCTGTAATATCGGAAAAGGGTCTAACCGTACAGGCAGATGCACGCTAGCTAGCTCAGTATATTTAGTGAGGCACAGTTGCTTTGACCCTGAGTTTCTGTGCTGTTAAACTTTAATACTCCATCCTGCTTGGCTCTCACCAATGTCTCCTCACTTCTGGCTCCAACCTTCTCAAATCACCCTGACCTCTCTCTCCCTGGTGCATGTATCTCAAAAGTAATAGTCTAGAAAGAAATGTTTTAACAGCCTGTAAAATATTAAAAGATTCATAACTTCCTGTTCATTTGGACCAGGCTGGGAAATCTGCCAGTTGTTTGCTGCTTTAAAAGAATTGTTTGTTACGCCGACATCTTGTCCACACTTGTTGTTGCCATGAGCTGGGTTTCACCCAAATATCTGCTTTTCAGGTGACCTATCATTCCTGCCCTAAGGGATGCCTAAGACCCAATCCCAGGGCATTGACATGTCAGCCAGCAGGTTTTTTTTAGTGAGCTGCTTGAAATGCTGTAGACTAATTGCCTAAAAATGTGCATTGTGCTGCAGTGTACCAGCCTCCTCTCCTGAAAATGCTATCCCAGAATATAGTTCTATGGTACTGTCTGCCCTCCAGTACTTTATTCAAGCAGTCCTTCTTAATATGGGAGCTTAGATCATCGGTATCAGCAGGCAATTTGACCCCGGGGTAGGGGGCATCACAGCCTAGCTCAATCCTGTCCTCACCCAATACCCAATGTAAGTCGATTGGTGCATAGCTTTCCAGGGGTAAAATCCCTCCAAAAAAATAATAATTTTGATCACTCAATCCACGATTGTTTGTGGGACACTGCTGTGTGCAACTGGCTGCCACGTTTCATCCACAAAATACATAGTCAATCCATTTTACAGTTTGTTCTGTGAAGCGCTTTGAGATGTCTCAACGACGTGATAAGGCACTATATCAAATGCAAGGATTATTATTATTATTAATACCCACAGCCCTGCACTTTCCAGAAGTTATCACGGATAGTGATAAGGAGTGGGAATGGGAAACTGAAGGCAACCAGACAATAAATGATGGCCTGACTGTATCACACACAACCCGAGCTAGGAAAAGGAACTGTCAGCAGTTTACCCTGCAGTCTGAGCCATTCCTTAACTGGGACATGCCACTGGGTGGGGTCTAAGATCTGTGAGTAGTCTGAGACGTGGACCCATTCCCACCAGCTCAGCAGCACTGAATAAGACAAAGCAAGTTACTTCTTGTTTAATTAATAAATACAACATTGTATTTAATATATTACAAATAAGATCTTCAGAACCAAGAGAAAATAGTAGGAAGGAATGTCTCGGTTAGTAAATTGCCTGCCCAATGTGCAACTCAGCCACTCGGTCCCAGGCTCAATCTCTGAGTCCTGCTGTGCTCAGCTGAGTTAGTGGCCTCAGCATCTCTTGGGCTAAAGGAGGGGAAACCAGGCACTGTTCCCGCTTCTGATCACTGTCCATATAATGCCCCAGTTCCATCCGGTACCGGAAAGTGTTCAAATCAGACGTTTATCCACAGAGCACACAATCACTGCACTTTGCAGCATAGTATATCCTGTGAAGCACCTTGGAACGTCCTCCTGATGTGAAAGGCGCATATCAAAATGAAAGCTTTTAATTAGATCAGGATGGATTGTGATGCCCACCATCGTCGAATAATATAATAATAATAATGATCCTTGCATTTGTTACAGTGCAATATTATGCAATAAAATAATAAAGGTACCAGATGGAAGCTGGTGACTGTGCAATTGGAAGATCAAGATGATCATATATCAGTATATATTAGTGAGGAGGGTGGACTAGGAAGAATGGGTTGACATGACAATGTGTCGCAGAGTGGTGTGTTTCTGATCATAGTGGGGGCTCCACATGAGCAAACCATGGATGCACAGGTTCCCCACAGGGAGTATCTGTGATCAGCAGTGGGTCTGACACATGAGCAAACTCCTCATCATAAGACCACTGGCTCTAGCAGTTGAGAGCTCATAGAAGCCGAGCTCTGCTGGCAGTTCTGGAGTCCCTCCTCACTGGAGGACCCCATGTGTGCCTGGAGATGACTCCACTGTGGGGTAGAGTAACTCTAAATCTGGAGGAGGAGTGAGCTTGAGGCTGAACAACCTCTTGTTTTGAGTTTGCTACTGTTTAAAGAAAGCTATCTAAATTAATCCAACTGAGCTCTCCTTCTGTACTGACTCACTTACCAGGCTTTGAACCGGTCTCCTCACCCGGAAGAACAGCACGACCAGAGTGGTGGGCAGCAGCTCCCATATGAAGAGAATCACCCCGAACACTAGGTAACCTTTGTCCCCCAACTGAGTCTGCAGATCTGCCTGTGTGAGAGCAACAATACAATACAAACTTACATTTATTTATATCTTTCACATTGGTAGGACATGCCAATGATTGGTAGCTGAGGTGGGGGTGGGAGCCGAGAGGGGTGGGGGGGAGAGGAAAGGTGACCGAAAGTCAGTTCAAAGAGGTAATTTAGGACAGATCTTTGAATGAGGTGAGGGTGGTAGCAAGTTGTAGGGTCTCTGGGATGGAGTTGCAGTGGTTGGGGGCAGATAGGCTGAAAACCCGGCCACAGATGGTGCAGTGGGTAGGGTGCGGGACATGAAGGGAGCAGCTGGGACAGTTCTGTTTGAAGACGTTACAGACTTGACAACAGTATCACATCAACCAGGAGATAAAACTGCCCACCTTCCAGAGCATCTACTTAGAGATTATAATAATAATCCTCGCATTTGACATAGAACCTATCACATTGGGAGGATATCTCAAAGTGCTTCATGTGATTTACTGTAATATGTTGTGACCGTGTAGATGAACAAAATATTGCAATATGTCCTTTAATCGCTCCATCAAAAGTCAGGTGTCAGGAGTTCACCATTTAATGAAATATAACAGATTTTCCTGAAAATAGTTATCTTTTGCTTCCTAATATGACTACTTTACCCAATAAAATGATTTGATGATTCACAGGATCAAGACAAGTTTTGCAGATCTTCTTTCTGCCTCATATTATTAGTAAGGTGCAAAGTGTTCGCTACATCATCAGCTTGGTCAATATTATCCTCCCTGTTGAGTGCTCCCTATCATATTAACTGAGTACTTTGAGATGTTTATTCTACATGAGAGACTGTAAAGTGAATTGATTGTATATGTTTTGGGCGAAATACTGTAGCCAATTGCACACAAACAGTTGTGCATTGAGTGATCAAATATACATTTTTTTTAAGGGATTATTACCCCTGAAAATCAATCCGCCAATCAACTAACAACTGGGTTCCTACTTACTACTAGGTAAACAGAGGCATGTGGAGTAAGGAAACTTGCCTAAGGTTTCGCCCTGCCTGGGAATCAAACCTGGGTCCTCTCACTTGTGAGGCAAGTGTTCTACAAGGCTAAAATCTTGTGAAGTGCTTTGCGTATCAACTACATAAGGTGTTATATAATAATGATAATATTCCTTACATTTGATATCGCGCCATATCACATCTTTGAGACATCTCAAAGCGCATCACAGAATAAAATGTAAAATGAATCGACTGTATATTTTGTGGGCAAAACACGACAAATAATTGTGCACAGCATTGTCTCCCAAACAGTCGTGGATTGAGTGACCAAATTATTTAAATTTATTTGAAGGAATTATTAACCCAGAAAAGCGATCTGCCAATCGACAACTCGGTTCCTACTTATTGCTAGGTAAACAGAGACGTGTTTGTGGAGTAAGAAAATTTACCCAACGTTTCGTTCTGCCCGGGAATTGAATCCAGGTCTCTCGCTTGCGAGGTGAATGCTCTAATCACTAAGCTATAGGACCCCACATATAGCTGCAAGGATTAATAATATTATGTTTTCACCCCCTCCTCATTTTCTTTTTTTTTCCTGCAGGTTGAAGACTCGTGCTTGGTATAGTTCCCCGCATCCTATCTGCCTATTCTTCATGTGGGAATCTTGACAGTGAATAATTCAAAGGGACATCACAGTTGACGCTGGTATCTTCACCCAATGTCCACATACTAGCAGAGGTCACTAGATGGTGATATAGAGCAGTAAGCCTGGCTGATATAGTATTTTCCTCTCCCTAACCTAGATTCTGAGACCAATACAAGTCTCTTGCCACCCTAGCATAGAGCAGAGATAAAACCTGTTTGTTTTTCTGGTCAATGGAGTATCCCAGCATTAATTTGGCCTTTTTGGAAGAAGAGGATTGAAGGAGATTGACAAAAACACAATCATCCACACCCAAAATAGTGACTGGCTCTAACCAGTCACACGATAGAATAAAATTTACAATATATCTTGATCAATTTCTTATTAAGAAATGTCTAGTTAATTTCTGAAATATCTGATGTGTCTACAACACATTAAGGGTTTAGAAATTCAAAATGACATGTCTCTTATTTAGAAATCTGTTACGAAATCCCACAAATAAGACATCTTAAAAGTGTGTAAGGGGTCACCAGGCTGAATCTCCCAACCCAAGGATCACCTGAGCTGATCAGAAGCATTGCATAGAAGCGTTTCACCCACAAAATACACAGTCAATCCACTTTACAATATATTCTGTGAAGCATTTTGAGATGACTGAATGATATGAAAGGCGCTATATCAAATGCAAGGATTATTATTATTATTTTTATTAGAAGCCTCCTGACAGAGGGTGAACTGACCTGATCAGACACGTTGTACCAGTCATAATCGAATGTGTTGATGTGGTTATAAGAGGTGAGCGAAATAGCAACCAGGTTGTAGCAAGCTCTCGACGTGTACAGTAATATGATGACCACTCCCACCGCTGTAATCTGACAGACGGACGTGCCCTATAAAATAGACAGCACAATACGACCATTACACAAGGAAATAAGAATGGGAAAAATGTCACATGGCAAATAATGCCCGCTCCTCACACAGAGCTTGTACAATCTACTCGGTCGTGAAATCACCAGCATTTATATACGTATGACGCAGTGTGTGTAGTGAAATAACATTTTACACGTTGCAAAAATTGTTATTCCCGATCAGTCTCGAAAAAAGGGCAGCAGAGTCGAGGGTAAAAAGGCTATTTGACCATCAGAGCCGAGCCTGATTCTGTCCTCCTCTAATGTCCACAGTTTCAGCAGGGGTCAGTAGATGGCAATGATGAGTGGGTACCCTGACTAATTCTTCCTCTTGTAAATCCAGAGGCTCTGATCCAATTGTGTCTTCCTCCTCCAGCTAAAAAATGTATTCCTCTTCCAGCTTCCTCTTCCTCAGTCTGTCTTCAGTCGCTGTTATAATGCTGGCCTCCGCAACAGCGACTTCAGACAGGCTGAGTGAAACAGTGCAATGACATCTTACATTCTGCACCAAGCAATGCCTTTCACCAAGCAATCCTCATCACTGTTCCAAAAATAATGGCAGCAAAGCTGGTAAGGAACGCAGCAGGAGAAACGTCAGCCACATCCCCCGGCAGCTCCCAATTACTATTATTTTGGCATCAGATGATAGGGAAACCACTTGTTTAAGACACCCTTAGCATGAGATGCCCTTAGCATAGGCATGCATGAAGCATCTGATATCACTGTGTCCACCCCCTTCCTATCTATCTTCCAGAGTGAGGTTGCAATGTCTGGGAATAAAAACGTGGCCCAAGACCACCTGTGCCACAATCCATGCTACACGAGGGTTAAAATACGAGTGTTATTGTGACACTCCTGCCTGCAGTGCTCAGAGAACCAACAGCTGTAGCAACAACTCACCACTTGAAGAAGCTAAGATTGCAGGAGTTAAGGGTTTGAGGAAAGAGGGGCTGGTATTTCAGCATTAGGGAAACTCTTTGAACAAATCACTTACAGATACTGCAGGGGCTCATAGCATAAATGTTTTGAAGCTCAAAACGGAAAGCAAACCAAAAGCATTTGGAAAAGAGATGAAAGAGAAGAAGCCACTGGATTTTGAACTCTCAGGTGTCGCATGCAACCTGATCTACATGGGACTGACTAAGAAAACAGGCTGAGCTTTTGCAATTAGCATGAGTGGAGAAGGGAAATTGAGCCTTTCTCTACATTACAGCAAAAATAATATTTTGAAAACTAGCTTTTTGAACAGAGAAGTGATACAGAATTGTGACTTTTATTCCTCAGTGATAATGCTTAAAATGTCAGGTTTATATTGGCAATTCCCAACAGGAATGCTCTGAATTTCTCATCCAATCAAAATGGTAAGTTACTGGTAAATCGCATCATCAGCAAATTGCTGGTGATCTTCTAGAGAATAATTTCCAGGACATCTGGGATAATCCTGGTCGCTTGGATGAACTTGTCAGGAAACAGAGCAAACAATGCAGTATCGGAGCACTTGGATTCACTATGCTGACTGGCAAGATGCAGCAAGAATTTCACAGAGACTCTAATTTGCTAATTGGTAGTGATTGGGAAACATTGACCTTATGCTCTCACAAAAAGAGCAGGAACTCAGCATTTCAACTGGACTTTAAACTTATTTCAAGCAGTGGCGGCTCATCAGGTGAGGCAAGTGAGGAGCTGTTCACCTGGATCTTGCAGTTAGCATCGCGAGGCCAGTGTGGGAGCTGAGTGGATTGAGACCAGCGGGCCCACCGAGAGCACAGGAAAACAGACCCACCCTGACAGCGAGATCCAACGTGGGACCAGCAAAACCAATGAGCAAGCGGATCTGTGTGAGAGCAGGAATGTGTGGCCCGTCACTAAAGGCATTGCACAAAAATGCAAACTCTTCAGTCTAAATATTTTATGTTTATAGAAGTTGGAAAGTAAGGTGAATAGTCGTCCCAATCTTTAATATAATAATAATCCTTGCATTTAATATAGCACTTTTCATATCTTGTAGACATCTCAAAGGGCTTCACAGAATACACTGTAAAGTATATATGTTAATTGCAAGAATGAATGACTGTTTGCTACTTGGCAATCATTTCTGAATGATATTCAGAATATATAAGAGTGACCTCCTCTTGACTTCATGTAGTGATTTACACAATATAGGGTTATTATAGGGAAATCCCATTCTAAGCCCATATCATCAAAAGGCACTACATATAACAGAGAAATGATTTTCCAAGGCAGTGGGTCCTGGCTATAACACAACATCTTCTTGCTGGAGAGTGTATGTCTGCAATTGGATAGGCAGGAACAGGCTCGACTATGCTGCCCTCTGCGGTCGAATCACATGCGGACACCCAATGTCAAGGCTCATACGTGAATATTAGCTACTTGGATGAGATACGAAACTCACCACAAGATTCCTGGAGAGTGTGGCCACTATACTCAGCACCTGTATAACGTCAATCAATAGGTTCTTACAAAAAAAAAAGATCCGATTCTAATACATAACTCGCTTAGTGAAACTAACCTTGGATTCCAAGTATATATTCGCTAGAGACATTTTTGCAATCTTCCAGAGGCAGAATGACAGTGAGATTGCACACAGCACAAAGAGGCTGTCATTGATGGCCACACGCACGAGCACGATGGTTTTAGTTTCAGCGTGTGTAATTTTCACGAGCAAAGCACAAGTCAGGTTCACCACAAGAAACAGGAGACTGACCAGCAGGAATCCTAGGTGAAGAGGCAACCTGGAATTGGGAGGAAAGATCATTTTAGCATGGTCTAATAACATGCAGCATGTATAAACCTTACACGAATAAGGACACTAAATTTTACGTTGTTGAGGAAAGAATGCTAAATTTGAATTAATCATTGGTTAGGCTGCAACTGGAACACTGTGTCCAGTTCTGGGCATCTCATTTCAAGAAGAATGTTAAGTCCTTAGGGGTGCAGAGGAGATTATGAGAATGATTCCAGGGATGAAGGACTACAGTTATAAGGAGAGATTGGGTCTGTTTTCATTGCAGCAGAGAAGATTGAGGGGGGACCTGATTGAGGTCTACAAAATTATGAGGGGTTTTGTCAGAGTAAATAGAGTTAAGTTATTTCCATTGATAGCTGAGTCAATCACTATAGGACACATAGCTATAAGACAGCCACAAGAGTAGTGGGAAGAGAATTTAGGATGAATTTTTTACCCAGAGTTGCTGAGTAGGTTGGTGGAGGCAGAGTCTGTTTCCAGCTTTCAAGAGAGTAGATAATGAAAGTGCGGCTTGATGGGGATGTGGGGAAGTGGTTTGTAATATTCATACTAGTCTAGATAAGTCCATGTTCGATCTAATATGTTTTTAATTTTTTCTTGATTAAATATCTTGATTTATGGATTTAAGCCACGGTTTCTCATCAACTCTAATCCAATGTTTCAACCACATTCAAAATAGAGTGCGAGACCCAGGAGGAGGATGGAAGTATTTAGTATGAGTATCTAACTGAAAAGATGGATTAGGTTAGATGGAGTAGAAAAAAGGTAAAATTAAAATTATGAAACCTAAACAGGGACCAAATTTTAGAATGGGCTACCCTCCATACAGAAAAAAACATTATGGATGACTTTATACTACAGGCACTAACAATAACAAAGGGACTTTAGTGTCCAGAACTATAAGTATTTTAATAAAACCTGTCCAGTTAATAATGAGACTGTACCTGTATTTTTGAAGCTCTGGATAGTACTTGGATTTGGCTTTGAAAATAACCTGGAATATGAAGCAAAACATGTTGCTAAACAACTTACACTGCGCAGCACAGAGTTAACAACAAAGAACTGATTGTACAGCAATGCTCACAGCAATGTTATTTGTGAACACATACGCAGTGTGTAACAGTCACAATGCTCAGCAATCACTAAGCAGCTGGCCCAGGTTTACGAGGATTTACTGGTTTCTGGGGCATGGATCTGAAGGCTGTTTGTTCGGCAATGTTGGGTTCTTTAATACATCACAAGACTGGACGGCATTATGTCCAATAGATTTATTTGAACCTGATAGACTACATACAGGAAAAACGTCTTACAATCATATAAAGTGCATTAGCTAATAGTTCAGAACAAAAGACCAAATACAAGCCTGTCCTGGGAGCTAGAGAGACTGTTTTGATTCTGGTCTGCAGCTCAGCTCAACCACAGCTTTTCCAGCCTTTTACACACACTACTTGTAAATGTTGACTCTGAATTACATCTTTACGAAATGATTAGTTTATCACGTCATTCATCTTGTTTTTTGACCCTTAATCGGATCTGCATCAAAGTGATGAATTGATCACATCAGCCCATTGTTCTCTTCCCAAACTGAACATATTATCTCTTTTATTTACATCCCTACAGCATTGTTTTCAGTAATTTACAAAAAGACTGATGGCCGCCAGAGGTAATTTTGCTCAAGGAGGTGTAGTCACCCATCTCTCCTTTGAATTACCATCTCAAAAACCTGCACCATCCATTGCAGAGTTACGGGTGATGTATATTTTCAAACCAGCAAAGCCTCTCCGGGAAGACTCATCAGTCAACCATGGTTTTCACTCCTGATTAATGAATGACCCCTGCTGTAAAGTGCACAATTACAAACATCAGATGAAGAAGACTTTTCTTTACTCAGAGGTGAGGTTATAACTGGAACAGGTGGCCAGGAATGGTAGTTGAGGCCAGGATACTGCAGCTTGATGCTATGATGGGAGGATGATTGGGTGGGTGTTCTTGAGGGATAAGATCGGGGTGTTGGAAAGGTCTTCTTCATCCGAACCAATCTTGTGAAGGCAGGATTGTGCTTGTCTGCAATCGCCATGCCCCACACAGGTTGTCAACCCTAGTTGTGTGGACTCGCACACGAATAACAGACACTTCTGGTGATTTCAAGCTGCATTTGTTTGCGGCTGCACTCCAGCCATTGTGGCACAAATTAACTAAAATATAGCCAATTGCCTTAGGGTGCTCTGGGCATTTCCTTTTCTACTGCCGGTTCGTCTCTTTGCCACCACCGGCTGCCACCGCTCCTCTGGTTGGCAGTAGCACTTGCTGGAGCGAGCAAATGTGGTGAAGCTCACAGCTAACCTTGGCACCATCACTGCCAAAATTAGGTGTCTCCACAAGTGGCCAAGTTCCACTCTTGTTGATGGCTATCACTGATCTCATGTTCTCCTCACTGTAAGAGCCATTCATCTGCGTGGCCCTTCCTGGTTCTACTCATGATGTCATGGCATAAGCGATGTGGTGGCATCTAAATAATAAAACTGCGGATAGAAAGGCCGAAAGCAAAACTACCTGATATTCAGCCGTATCTCTCGAGCCTCCCCCACTGTTATATAAGTGTGATCTACCTTTCTTCAATTGAATGTTAACAAGAACAAGCACCATCTCCTGATTGTTAGTACCTTCTCACAATAGGCGCTGATTGCATTGACCAGCACAGATGCTCAGCTCTGCTGGTTCTCATTCCCCAGCGGATCAAATTCAACCTCCTCATTTCTCAATTTCAAATCTTTCGATAGTCTCACCTCTCCCCCCAGCACCACTCTGTGACCTCTTGCAATGCTACTGCCCCAGCCGCTCCCTTCACTAAGCAAACACTTGGCCTGCTTTGAATCCTCAGCCTGCTCCTCCCCACCTTTGGCGGGCAAGTTTTCAGCCATTCTGCCCTCATTCTCTGGAATTCCATCCCGGAGTCCCTGTACCTTGCCCCCTTCTCTCCCCACCTTCAAAACCCGCCTTAAGACTATCCTTTTTATCTGTGCTTTCAGCCACCTTCTCCCCAGCTCAATGTTTTTTGAGATATCCTCCCAATGTATGATATAAATATAAATTGTAGTGGTGAATTGAATGACAAATTCCCCCAAAAAACATGTGAGGTGCACAGTGTGATCTATTTCATAGGTGATGGCAACGTAGGGTTTGTGGGTACATGGAAAAAATATACCCAGGATTCATAAATATATGAACGCGAGTGTCACTCAGAGTACAGCCAGTCGTGTAACAGGAAAGCTGCATTGAGGAAGGTGAAGGTTGTCGACCAACATCAGTCAGCAATTTCAACGGGAGGGGGAGTTCAAGAGCAATAACATGAAAGAAAGGAATGAATGTTGCTCAGGTGGCCATGGTTTTTAACTTACTTCATGCAAAACGCTCACTTACAAAGCATTTCCTGTGCTGTGCATTGAGGCAATTTTATGCTGATGAAACAAGGGTCAGCTGCTGACTGACCCAGAACTAACCACAGTAAAGGCAGTGAGTCTGAGCATCGAGTGCAACGCACTGATTTAAACTGGGAAACATTACAATTTATATTTCTCCAGAACTTTTCCCTCTGGGAGGATGTCTCAAAACACGTGATCTGACACTTACAAACCAATCAGAAGCAGAGCTTTACGGAAGGATATGAGAGGGAGTAAGAAATGGAATATAAACACTGGCATAGACTGGTTGTGCCGAGTGGCCTTCTTCCGTGCTGTACATTCTTTGTAAATCTGTCTGCAGATAACGCACCTGATCTCCTGCAGCAACATCGTTGGAACCAAACATTAAAAGCAAACGTACTCTTTACTTGTTAACACCTTACTTTTTTTTCAGAAACACGAGTTCATTTTTCGTGTAACAACAACAACTTTCTCCAGTTGAATGTGGACAAGACAGAAGCCCTCCTGCTTGGCTCCCGTCAGCGCCTCCAAACCTCGTGTGCTGACAGCATCACCATTCACAGATGCACTCTTCACCTCACTGAACCAGTCCGGAGACTTGATGTCCTCTTTGATACTCAACTAAACTTTAAACCGCTAATATGTGCCATTATCTGTTCTGCCTTCCCCCATCTCTGCAACATTGCCCGCCTTCGCCACTGCCTCTCCTCTCAGGCTGCCGAGACCCTCATTCATAAATCCATCATATCCAGGCTCAGTGGAGTCCTGTAGCTCAGTGGTTGGAGCACTCGCCCTGCAAGCGAGACACCTGGGTTCAATTCCAGGCAGGGCGAAACTTGGGCAAGTTTCCTTACTCTACATGCCTAATAATAATCCCTCCAAAACAAAACAATAATAAAATTAGTCATTTTCAATCCACGACTGTTTGTGGGACACTGCTGTGCACAATTGGCTGCCGCGTTTCGCCCACAAATATACAGTCAATTCACTAGAAGACATGAAAAGCGCTATATCAAATGCAAGGATTATTATTATTATTATTAACTACACTACCTCCCTGCTTGTTGGTCTTCCCAACTCTTCCCTCCAAAATCTGCAGATTATTCAGAACTCTGCAGCTTGTGTCCTCTCTCGTACCAGGCTCTGTGACCCTATCATCCCCACTCTCGCCCGGCTCCACTGGCTCCCCATCCCCCCAGAGGATCAAGTTTGAAATCATGGTCCTCACTTCTAAACCCTTGCTCCTTCCTACCTCTGTGACCTGCTGGCCTGCCTCATCTCCCTGGCCTACCCACCCCTCCACCGATAGTCTGGCTTTCAACTTATCTGCCTCCATTCTCTGTAACTCCATCCTGGAGTCCCTCCGACTCGCCTCCTCCCTCACCTCTTTTCAAGGTCCGTCTTAAGATCTTCCTCTTTGACCACCCTTCGGTCATCTTTCCACTCCCCACCCCTCTCAGCTCCCACTCTCAGCTCAGGTGCCAAGCCAGGATTGTCAAACATTGGGACATTCTACTGACATGAAAGGCTGTAAATATCAATATGAATCGGTATTATACTTTGAGGACAGCGTCTCTTCAGCCTGTTTACAATTGCTTATGAGACCTCGCTGTGAGTAAAATGGCCACCAGATTGCTTCAAGAACAACAGGAGCTACACTCGGGCAAGATTCACCATTACTCACTTTGTGACATTTCAGTCTGATGTAAGTATTGTAATTTCCTTCCTCTTTCTAGCTGGCAAGCAAATGTGATGAAAAAGAAATAAAGTAGGAAACTAACTACAGTACATACATAGAATGATACAGCACAGAAACAGGCCATTCAGTCCAACAGGTGCGTGAAGGGGTAAACATTGAAAATACTTTGATGTAAAATTAATTTGTTGATCGCAAGATATCATTATCCTATGTCACAATATGATATGAAAGATTTCTGTTATTGTTCAACTGATGTTATCCACAAAACATTTATTCAACTGTGTGGCATCTATTAGATATTACACTTGCTCGAGAATCTCACTTGACCAGCAGGTTGTTTTTTATGAACAATAATTGGGGTTGGATTGAACCCTGGGTTACTTGGCCAATGAGTGTGGAAGTCCTTCTCCCCCTCTCCATGATCTCCTCTGCCCCCAACCTCCCTCTCCCTAACCCCACTCTCCCCCCTCTTTAACCACCCCTCGCTTCTAACCACCCCCTTTAACCACAACTCCTCTCCCCAACTCCCATCCCCTCCTCTACCCAATCTTGTGAAGGGTATAGCTGGGGATGACAGTGAGCAGCAGAGTGTCAGAAGGACTCTCGAGATGACAAAAGTGTAGATGAAGATTTCAGCTGCGTAGTTGTTTTTACAACAAACTTTGCGTCTGTTTTACCAATTTTATTTAATTCAAATTATGCAAGTGCCTGGTGCGATTTAAACCACGGCCTTTGGGTTGCTTGTCCAGAAGCATTACCATTATACTACTGTCCCCAAAACATTGGCCGCACTGTTAGCCATCATGGATTTGAAAGGAAAAATTGCAGTAATTATTCAGCTTCTGTTTTACGTCACAACCCACAGGTCCTGCA